GAGCTCGATCCAGATCGACTGGGTCGGCCCATTTGCCAGGTCGGCAACATCTTTTATTTTCTTCCCAGCTACAAGACACACATTTCGTTGTCATTGTTGATATTGTCCTGCATTGTGCTGTTCAAAATAGGAAAATCAGCTAAATTTGTTGTCAAAACGTTTTTCTTAAAAAAAAAAAAAAAAAAAAAACCTTGCTAATCAAACAATATCTCAAATTATAGCGTTTTTGTAGGATGGAGTTCCTTTGGATGATCCTGACACTCTGCGCCCTGGTCAAAACCAATCCAGCAGATGTACTCACAAGTGGACCCCCTCCGGGAATCGTTCTCCGTGATGATCCAGGACTCCTTATAACCAACTGCAGAGTACACACGCAGAGGGTGTTTGTCTGCCTAGATGCAGAGAACGTTTATCACCAACATATTTCCCCTGTGGAACATATGAGTTGGGATGGGGCTGACTGGACCACCCAGTCAGTTAAGCACGCTCAGCTAGACACTGCCCACATGTTGGCCCAAATCCAAAAGTTCACAGTCACCCAGTCAGAACTAGCAGAGCCCAGGCGAGAAAAACAATTCCTCGGGGCGCTACTCTCAAAAGGTGCAGCCGTAGGGTCACTATTTGCTCTAGGTACCACTGCCGTCAACGCAGTCAGTCTAGCCACGGTCAAAATAAATGTTAGGGAGATTACTGAAGAGATGCCACTTATCCAGCAACAGATGCAATCACAGGCACTAAGGTTGCAGCATGTGGGAAGGTCTCTCCAGGACACTATTCTGGTGGTAAACACACATGCTACTCTCCTGAACAAAACCCTCCTGTCGGTAGGCAAGCTAGTAGGGGTCATGAACCATGACTATGCCTGTATCCAATTGGTTCGGTTGTTGTTGGAGGATTTTCTCTGTGAAGCTAGCTCTTCTATGGACCACTTGGCCATTAATAGAATCCCCTCATATCTAGTGCCCCTCTCAATGGTGCACAACATATTGACCTCAGCTACCACAACCATGATAAAGCCATTATAGTCACACCTGGCCTATAGTCTGGGGTATGCAATTCCAATACACGTTGATGTTAATCAAAATTAAGTGGGGTTTTAACTGACGCTGCCGGTTGTTGAACTGGAGAAGATCCATAGGTTGAAAACAGTTCTAAACGTAGGATTTTGGCGTGACAACACCCATGTGAACATCATCACACCTCCAGTCATAGCTTATCAGGAACACAATCCAGATTTCTATCTCACCCCTAACCTGTTAATGTGTACTCCAACCAAAGACGTCCACTACTTGTGTCCTAGCAAACCCTTCGTCAGGGATAACACTGAGTGCCTTTGTGGCCTTAAGCCTATCACCAGCGAAGAACGTTGTAGAGCCAAACCAACAGCAAAAGGTGGATTCACCACCACGCAAGTGGAAGTGGTAGGGAATCAATGGCTGATTAACACCCCATTCACATCCGCCACTATGATTTATGAATGCCATGACTCAACCACCCAACTGAACCTCCCCAATCAGACAATTTTTGTTAAGGTACCAGAGGGGGCGATTATCCACAAAGACCACCTAGCCCTATACCAACATCCTGACTGTTACCATGATCCTTGGTCTTATTGCCCTTGGCGTGTGCACCTACTATGTACACAGGCACACTCGTGCAATGTAAGACCTAATTAGGTCTTATGCTAGGATCACCTGTGGGACGGACGCAATCCCGATTTCCTGAAAACTGGCAATAGATTCCAAAACCACATCAGGTGACCCATCCACAGCATCCCCAGCTTCTTCCCCAGAGTTCGCTAGGTCAGCCCTGTAGTGCCACCAATGGAAGCTTTGTCATTCAGGTTGCCATTTTAGAGAGCGCCTTAACTATCCACCTTCAAGTAGGATCGCCCTAGATATGACATTAGACAAATGTCATGATAGAGTCATTTAGCCAAGACCATGGACGTACATAGAATGGAGTAGCTGATTAAGGTGGGGGAACTATACTTTGTATATCTTTTGTTGTGTTTTTATTCTTTAATTTTTTCTTTTTCCTTTGACACTAAGGAAGTGATATTGCCACAAACAAGTTCCCCATATGACCACCAGTTAGTGCCATTTGGGGAAGAAATGTAATTATGTATTGCCAGTCTTGACACCTTAATACTGCCATAAATTAGAGAGGAGGATAATCTATCTCTGGCACTCTAGTATGGTGAAAGGAATGCCTTTGTTTCAGAGACTTTTTGCCGCCCAAAAACTTCAACATCCAACAATGAACATTGGGACAATATATTTCAACATCCAAAAGTTGCCTCCACTAACAATCAATGTTACGGCTGAGTATCTGTTCCAAGTACTGTATCTAAGAAGGTGAATTTAAGTGGGACCATCCTGTTACTCTCTTCAAACCATTGTCTACTACACTGCTCTCATCACCCCACAGGGGATCATCTACACGGCTGATAAGCCGTCCTCAGAAGACCACTTCCAGAACGAGTGAAAGTAAACAGTCAACTAAGAAGAAGGACATTGTGGACAATCTGAACCTTACATCTAAAAGGCCATCCGAAAGAGAAGGCCCAATCGACCCCTTCCCACGAAAGCCTGGGTCCAACAGAGATACACGAGAAAGACCACCAACACGTAAATACATGCATTGCTTTTCTTCCCAAATGGGCGGCAGTTCGGAGCAAAGTATTAGGATTACTGTGAGCGTAGGTCCATGTGTACCGAAGTGTTTTCTCTCTCTCTCTTTAACTCGCCATCTTTTGTAACAAGTGTCATATTGTGTTAGTCCCCTAGAGACATTGTATTAAGTTTCTAATCCCTACCTATACCATGTACGTGTTTGTATGTTGTGTTATCATTTTTTATTAGTTAGTAAATAAGTCACACCAAGAGTTGTTGATCATGAAGCTTACCCACCCCTTTTTTATTTTCCAACTCCTTTGTCCATCTGATTAATGGAAAACCCAGCAGGCTGGATAGCCGGGTTTAGCACTGATGGGGAAAGCCACGTTTCGGTAAAACATAGGACGTTACAATCCCTCATGTCTCGTTGGTAGGATATCCGCGCTCTGAGCTCATCCACCTTATTGTCCAGATACTGAACATTGACAAGGAAAATACTAGGAAGCGGGGGGGCTTTTTGCCCGTTTTCTCAGCCTCACTAGTACACCAGCTCTCCTACCACGTTTACGGTGGCACCTCTTCCTGGGCAAGTTGCCAGCTATGAGTAGAACTGCTTCAGAGAATCCAAACAAAGGGTCCAGGTCTGGAAAGCCGAAGTTTATGTGAGTAATCAAAGATCTGATGTCCAAAAGTTATTGGCGGTCATAAGAATTAATACCAGACATGTTCTGAGCAAATTAAGTAAAAAAGAACACTAAAAACAACAGAAAACTGCAAAGTTGAGTAGGAGCTAGCAACAAGGCGACCGTCTCTGTCGGCGCCATCTTACCAGGAGTCTGTGTGTGGTATGTAGTGTGTGTGCGTGCGCGTGTGTGTGAGCCAAGGACAGCCCCCAAACATCCAGAACAAGTCAATTAGAAAAGGATTAGAGGACGGAGATCAGACTCTCTGACGGACCGACCAGACAAGCAGAAACTGATAAGTCCGTCCGAACCATAGACTTTGAGCCCCCAGATAAAACGATTGAGAGCCAGAACACTTGATCTTAGATTAGCACCTTTCAGGGTACAGTAGGGATTAGCAGTAACTCAGAAGCTGAGGCAGGAACCTGTGTTAGTCATTCAATTCAAAGAGCAGACACACTTACACATGCACGTGCACACACACCTTTTCTTGCTCATGCCAATTGGACATACACGACATGACCAAAGGTATGTGGACACCTGCTTGTCGAACAATGAACAATTTGACAATGAACCAGACAGACCAAAGCATTAAAAAGGCATGTCAGTAGTTTATTGTTCAATCGGAACACATTCTCCATATCACTTATAACATTTTCAAGCATTACAACCAAACAAACAAAACTATTAAATACTTTTGAACATGAACATACATCATTCCAAGAGTAAATCTATTTTGTATTGGTCAGAAACCACTTGATAATGCAGTCAATGTAACTTTTTTGGGTTGGTTCTTCTTTCTGATAGATGTCGATACATAAACTTTAAATACCTAGCTATTTATAAATAACATCAACAATGTGTCCTTTTTTTCAATATACACATACAGTACATAAATACATGTACAAATGTCACAGTATAGATATAATATAACATTGGTGATTTATGAAACAATGGAACATTTATAATATATTCCCAGTACAATCTGCTTCAATCTGTTGTTTTATTCACAAGAGAATTTCACATATCTCTTGCTTGAATGAGCTAAACAGAAGCAAAATGAGAAGTCAAAATATTGGATGTAGTAATAATTCACAGTGGGTAACATTCAATGTATCCGGGACCCTGTAATACAAGCCATGAACACAAGTCACATGTTCTCAAAGATGAAACGCAAGGCCATGGCATTGCTCTCCTCTCCTAGGTTTTAAACTGGAGAGTATTTATAAGTGCATATCTATTATTAGCAACGACCCACCATTCACACATTCCGTTCTAAGAACATGGTCACGTGCCAGTCTAGTACCGACCAGGTCATGGATTTATTGGCATCTATATTTAGACTCTAGCGCAGCGACCCAACCACCTGAGCACTGAGCAGAGGCTCCTCACATTTTCTATTGTAACTTTAGGCTGAGGACTCTAAATTGATCTGACATTGGACAGGGAGGGAAGATGAACGTATGGACTTTAGAACTGGAACTACAGAACTCGATAACTCAAGAACTCTAGAACTCGTGAATCACTGTGATGTATCGTAAGGGCCTGGGGCTTGTTGGTTTTCAGGCTGAATGTTTAGGGTATGGCTATTGGTTGGTGCTGTACTTTAGTTTGTCAGTTGGTTGGTTGGTTTTGGTTTTGAGAACTCATTGTGTTCATGCATGTCGTGGTGCGGCTCGCTCAGTATGCCTTCCTTCCTCTAGTTGGGCTGTGACAGTCCCATCGCCATGGTGACGGAGGCCATGAGGATTACGGTGCTAGCCAGCACCATGGCGTCTCCCGACCGGTACACCACGCGGCCATTCAGAGGCTGCACCGGCCGGAATGTACCCACCATAGGCTTGCCATCCTTAAACTGGAGGTCTGAGAACACCCGCAGCTGGAAGATGGAACGAACACACAGACACAAAGGTCACTGAGACGCAGTTGGTACTAAAAGTAACAATAAGTATCATATAAAATGAACACAGTGTATCTACTGGTGCGTTTTGTTCAACTACTCAAAGCCAGACTGACAGACTCTCTTCACAGAAGTATTAGTAGACAGACAGAATGCCTCGGCTCTCTACCACATAACCTCTCTGCTTCCGGAGTGTTTCAGAATGTACTAACACTGGTGGAAAAAGTATTCATTTGTCATACTTGAGTAAAAGTAAAGATACTTTAATAGAAAATGACTCAAGTAAAAGTGAACGTCACCCAATAAAATATTACTTGAGTAAAAGTCTAAAAGTATCTGGTTTTAAATGTAGTTAAGTACAGTGGTGGAAAAAGTCAAATGCCTTATATTAATCAAACCAGACAGCACAATTGTCTTGTTTTTATTTATTTGCAGATAGCCAGGGGCACACTCAAACATAAATTACAAACACAGTATTTGTGTTTAGTGAGTCCACCAGATCAGAGGCAGTAGGGATGACAATGTGTTATATTGATAAGTGCATGAACTGAACCCTATTGCTGTCCTGCCTGAGCATTCGAAATGGAACGAGTACTTTTGGGTGCCAGGGAAAATGTATGGGAGTAAAAAGTACACATTTTCTTTAGGAATGTAGTGGAGTAAAAGTTGTCAAAAATATAAACACTCAAGTAAAGTACAGATACCCAAAAAAAACTTAAGTTGTACTTCAAAGTATTTTTACTTAGTTACTTTACTCCACTGTCCAGCAAGATGTTGGGTTAACGGGCTGCTCTACCTGGTCTCTGCTGAGAGGGATGGGCTTCTCGAACACAGTCCAGATCACAGACTCAGTGCAGCCGGGGGTGGTGAGGGAGCCCTTGTAGCGGTAGTAGTTGGTCAGGTTCTGCTGGGGAGGAATCAGCTGTTCCAGAGAAACTGAGGCCAAAGTTGTATTGGCACCTGAAACAACACAGCGCACAATGAGAAACATTGAGCATTGAAACAAATTGTATCTGCTACACAGAAGTTATATTAATCTTAGCAAAACATTGGCGCTGGTACCTGCAGACAAACCGAACATGGGAGAAACAGAGCATTGAAACAAATTGAGACAAATTGTTTCTGCAATACACATGTTACATACTGTACAAAGTTACATTCATCGTAGCATGTATTCATCAAAATGTTGGCATTTGGAGGCTGATAGGACAAGACACAGAGGAAAGCGTTGAAGAAATTAGGGAAGACATCAAATCACCTCAGCCTTTCTTGTTGATCGTTGCATATCAATAAAATAAAACGACTGTATGTAATGATGAACAGTATCTGCTACACAGGAACTAATATACACAGAATTATTACATGCACAAAGATACATCAATCTTAGCAGATACTAATTTCAGTGTCTCAGCTGTGAGTGTAGCTTTGTATGCACTTTTGAAAATCAAATTTATGATACATATCATATTGTTAGCAAGATGGATCTGAATAACACATACGGTTGCTAGAGGAAGCATTAGCTATGACATTTATTCACCAGTCGTCGTGATGCGCTGCAGGGCTCTTACAACAGGATCATATTTTCTGTTGGCACTGAGGGATTCCTGAAAACGTTACGAAATAAGAATCATGAAACGTACATACAGTGCCTTCGGAAAGTATTCAGACCCCTTTACTTTTCCACATTTTGTTACTTTACAGCTTTATTCCAAATTAGATTAAATTGTTGTTGTTTTTTTCATCAATCTACACACAATACCCGATAATGACAAAGCAAAAACAGTTTGTTCGATTTTTTTTCTAATTTATTAAAGTATTCAGACCCTTTACTCAGTACTTTGTTGAAGCACCTTAGGCAACGATTACAGCATCAAGTTTTCTTGGGTATGACACTACAAGCTTGGCACACCTGTATTTGGGGAGTTTCTCCCATTCTTCTATGCAGATCCTCTCAAGCTCTGTCAGGTTGGATGGAGAGCACTGATGCACAACTATTTTCAGCTCTCTCCAGAGATGTTCGATCGGGTTCAAGTCCGGGCTCTGGCTGGAACACTCAAGGACATTCAGAGTCTTGTCCCGAAGCCACTCCTGCGTTGTCTTGGCTGTGTGCTTAGGGTCGTTGTCCTGTTGGAAGGGGAACCTTCGCCCCAGTCTGAGGCCCTGAGCGCTCTGGAGCAGGTTTCCATCAAGGATCTCTCTGTACTTTGCTCCATTCATCTTTGGCTCAATCCTGACTAATCTCCCTGTCCCTGCCGCTGAAAAACATCCCCACAGCATGATGCTGCCACCAACATGCTTCACCATAGGGGTGGTGCCAGGTTTCCTCCAGACGTGACGCTTGGCATTCAGGCCAAGGAGTTCAATCTTGGTTTCATCAGACCAGAGAATCTTGTTTCTCATGGTCTGAGAGTCTTTAGGTGCATTTTGCCAAACTCCAAGCGGGCTGTCATGTGCCTTTTACTGAGGAGTGTCTTCCGTCTGGCCACTCTACAATAAAGGCCTGATTGGTGTAGTGCTGCAGAGATGGTTGTCCTTCTGGAAGGTTCTCCCATCTCAACAGAGGAACTCTGGAACTCCTTGGTCACCTCCCTGAACAAGGCCCTTCTACCCCGATTGTTCAGTTTGGCCAAAAAAATGTATGCACTCACTAACTGTAAGTCGCTCTGGATAAGAGCGTCTGCTAAATGACTAAAATGTAAAAATGCAAAAATGGAAAAAAGTGGGAAAAAAATAATTTAATCGATTTTAGAATAAGGCTGTAATGTAACATAATGTGGAAAAAGTCAAGAGGTCTGAATACATTCCGAAGGCACTGTATATATCTACATACATCTCAATATATAAACATACATATATCTACATAATATTCTAAATCACATACAAGACAAATACAGTAGATATCCATTAGGGTTATTGCAGGGTCCTATAATGCATGCGTAATATAATATAATATCATTATCCTCCACATCTTATTACAAGTCTTGCCATGGATATGTCTAGTCATCATCAAAGACTGACTGGGTATGGCAAAGAGTTTAGCAAATATTATTAAAAACATATTGAAATGTTAACCTCATAGAAAAATCCAAGGACTGCAACTCCTATTGGGTCTTTCAGGGCATCTTCCAATTTTGAGTATTCCCGATTCATGTGAACAATATGCAGCTGTAGAACATAGTATCAATAGAAATGTGTTACAGATAATGTCATTAGTCATTCCCAATAGTAGAATTTAAACACTCAGGTTCTGGTTTTGGACTGGTTATCAATGACGGAAATGGCAGAAACATTTTCACTCTTTGATTGTGTCTAATTGACCTTGAGAACATTTAAATCAAAACTTGTTTACAAAATTAAATGCCTGTAATGACCAGTGATTATGTTGTTCTGCTGTTATGACCAGTGTGTGTGTGTGTGTGTGTGTGTGTGTGTATGTATGTGTGTGTGTGTGTGTGTGTGTGTGTGTGTGTGTGTGTGTGTGTGTGTGTGTGTGTGTGTGTGTGTGTGTGTGTGTGTGTGTGTATGCTTGCGTGCGTGTGGCCATCCTACGGTGCATTCGGAAAGTATTCAGACCCCTTGACTTTTTCCACATTTTGTTACATTACAGCCTTATTCTAAAATGGATAAAATACAAATAAATTCCTCATCACTCTACACACAATACTCCATAACGACAAATCAAAAAAAGATTTGTACAATTTTTTGTAATGTATTACAAATAAAAAACAGAAATACCTTATTTACATATGAGACTCGAAATTGAGCTCAGGTGCATCCTGTTTCCATTGATCATCCTTGAGTTGTTTCTACAACTTGATTGGAGTCCACCTGTGGTAAATTCAATTGATTGGACATGATTTGGAAAGGCACACACCGGTCTATATAAGGTCCCACAGTTGACAGTGCATGTCAGAGCAAAAACCAAGCCATGAGGTCGAAGGAATTGTCCGTAGAGCTCAGAGACAGGATTGTGTCAAGGCACAGATCTGGGGAAGGGTACAAAAACATGTCTGAAGTATTGAAGGTCCCCAAGAACACAGTGGCCTCCATCATTCTTAAATGGAAGAAGTTTGGAACCACCAAGACTCTTCCTAGAGCTGGCCGCCCAGCCAAACTGAACAATCGGGGGAGAAGGGCCTTGTTCAGAGAGGTGACCAAGGACCCGATGGTCACTCTGACAGAGCTCCAGAGTTCCTCTGTGGAGATGGGAGAACCTTCCAGAAGGACAACCATCTCTGCAGCACTCCACCAATCAGGCCTTTATGGTAGAGTGGCCAGACAGAAGCCACTCCTCAGTAAAAGGCACATGACAGCCCGCTTGGAGTTTGCCAAAAGGAACCTAAAGGACTCTCAGACCATGAGAAACAAGATTCTCTGGTCTGATGAAATCAAGATTGAATTATTTGGCCTGAATGACAAGTGTCACGTCTGGAGGAAGCCTGGCACCATCCCTACGGTGAAAAATTGTGGTGGCAACATCATGCTGTGGGCATGTTTTTCAGCTGCAGGGACTGGGAGAATAGTCAGGATCGAGGGAAAGATGAATGGAGTCCTGGAGCAAAGTACAGAGAGATCCTTGATGAAAACCTGCTCCAGAGTGCTTAGGACCTCAGACTGGGGTGAAGGTTCCCCTTCCAACAGGACAAAGACCCTAAGCACACAGCCAAGAGAACGCAGGAGTAGCTTCGAGACAAGTTTCTGAATGTCCTTGAGTGGCCCAGCCAGAGCCCGGACTTGAACCCGATCGAACATCTCTGGAGAGACCTGAAAATAGTTGTGCATCAGTGCTCTCCATCCAACCTGACAGATCTTGAGAGGATCTGCATAGAAGAATGGGAGAAACTCCCCAAATACAGGTGTGCCAAGCTTGTAGCGTCATACCCAAGAAAACTCGATGCTGTAATCGTTGCCTAAGGTGCTTCAACAAAGTACTGAGTAAAGGGTCTGAATACTTATGTAAATTATATAAATGTTGTTTTAAATTTGAAAACCTGTTTTTGCTTTATCATTATGGGGTATTGTGTGTAGATTGATGATGAGGGGAAAAAACGATTTAATCAATTTTAGAAAAGCTGTAACGTAACAAAATGTGAAAAAAGTCAATGCACTGTACATGACATTACCTCCATTGGGTACTGCTCTCCGTCAATAGTGTGTTCCGACCCTGGTCCTCCGTTCTTGCCCCAGTGCAGGTGGAACTGCACTACCTTATAGGGTAACTCCAGGTCTCCACCAATCACATAGGGTTGGTGAGGCACGTTCACCTGAACTTAAGGGGGAAATCAGACAACAAAGGACTAGAAGACTTCCTAGATATTGATTGAAAACTGCATGCTTTTGGAGGGAGGTTGGGGTCAATGACAGCATGTTTTGTCTTTGAAATAAAAATGTTCTAGTTAAAAAGCATATTTCTAAATGTTCACATTTTTGACACCATTTAAAGGGATAGTTTGAGGTTTTGTCAATTAAGCACTTTTTTCTACTTATCCAGAGTCAGATGAACTCATGGATACCATTTGTATGTGTCTGTGTGCAGTTTGAAGGAAGTTGAAGGTAGTTTCTGGAGCCATTGCTAACTAGCGTTAGCACAATGACTGGAAGTTTACAGGAGCACCTAGCATGCTAGCAGAAACTACCTTCAACTCCCTTGCACACAGAGACATATAAAAAAAGCATTGTTGAGTCCAGGTACAATAGGCATGAGGAAAGACTTTCTCGTGGTACTGGCCTAAATTACGTTGTCAATAAAGCAGTGAATTGGGAGCTTTAACAGTGTGAAGGGCCTTCTTGCTCTTTACTAGTATTCTTTATTAACCCAGCACCTATGCTTTTAAGGATGTGCGTATGACCACAAACTTTTCTATAGACTGGCCTAAATTAAACATACCAGAGTGTCCATTGTTTTTGATCAGGCCACTGAAGGAATCCTGGTATTTTCTGAACTGGAAGGGCGTAAGGCGCTCATCTGGTAGGGTCTTCCTGTGGACGATGTTGATGGGGGATTGGGCTCTGCCTTCACAGTCTTTGTTGGCATGGTCCCACTTCTCTGGTCCTGTAGAACGGTGAGGAGAGAAAATACTGTACATCATCAAGCTATGACAGCAAGCCACAGACTAGGAATGTTCAAGTTGATGTTTGTCTGAGTAAAACTGTTTTGAGTGGGTAAGTGTTTAAGTGGGAGGCGAGGGACGGAGGGACAGATATGAATGGTTAGGTGGGTGTAGAGGAAGTGGATTTGTGGCTGTAACTGTCACTCCTTTAACAACTTGAACTTGTGATGGTGACACAAAGATAAGAGAGGATCCAAGTCAGTGCAGTGTGTTGTATGGAAAGAGAGATTTCTTGTTCATCATTCACCATTACAAGGGGTGGCACAGGTATGCTGGGACTGGTAGCACCAATCTGAAACAACATGAGAAACATAAGGAAGCCACATGGTCAGTAGTATACTCAGTACATAAAATAGAATCCAATTACACAATCTGTTTGTTTTATGACTGTAATACAATGTTAAAGACCCACTCCAGCTTCCCTAGCACCTCATTTATCATCTGATTTACTTAACAAATCTCAATAGGTGGTCCAGGTATCCTCATGACATGCGGGGGGGGTTGGGCCTTTGCTGTTTTTTCCTCTATTGCTCCTCTTTTTTTCCCCGCAAGCAAGGGGGAGGGCTGATGTCATCAGAGGGCACCCATCAGACCAACTTCTTGAATTGCCAACTCCTTGAATTTCGCAATTGTGTCTAAAAAACACTATTTTGCTCAAAACATATTTTCTTATCCTTAAAGACACTTTGGCGACTAGTAAGTATTTTTTTTTACCTCCCACTTTGGGCTGGATGTGTCAATAAGTAGTTAATTCATGCATAATCTATGAGCATAATTACTGTCTTACCTCAATTAGCCATGAAATACCTAGTTAGAAAGCAACTGTTTTCTGAAAGCTGTGCGGCACCATTTTAAATGCCTCATGAGCTTAGTTTAACTGTTGTACCTCATCAGAACACAAAATATAAGCTTGTTTTATTCCAATGTTTGTAAACAAAGTAAATGTAAACAAACACTGTATAGCCTCAAAACATGGTTAAAGCTATCATTTTGATATCATGGCTGGTCAGTCCTTGCATCCATATCGCTGTCTATGAATTTGAAAGTGATTATATTTCTCCAGCCCCATCCCTCAGCATTGTATGGAAACAATGGTGGGGAGAAACGCTTTGTTATTGTTTCAACTGCTGATTGGCCCTTTAAGTGTGTGTACTTTACTGTATTTATACTTGGAATATTGTTTTTCAATGGGAAAAGAGTGGGTCTTTAAACAGTCAGCATCAAGCATTAATCACTTCAAAGCAAATATCCTTGTGAAAACAGTGTTGTTGAATGACCTTGATATGAATACATGTGTTTCTAAGATAAACAATTTGACACTGTAAAGATCTGAAACCAATGGAGAGTATTTCAGGTTGGAGAGTAGAGGGGGCGCGGCAGGGCTGGGCTCGGGTCTGATGTCATCATTCTACTACTCTATGTATGATCCTTGCGTTCTAATTCTATGGTCCCATACACTCATTTTTACATTTTAGTCATTTAGCAGACGCTCTTATCCAGAGCGACTTACAGTTAGTGAGTGCATACACTATTCTTTTTTATTATTCTATTTTTTTTTCATACTGGCCCCCCGTGGGAATCGAACCCACAACCCTGGTGTTGCAAACGCCATGCTCTACCAACTGAGCTACATCCCTGCCGGCCATTCCCTACCATACGCTAGACGACGCTGGGTCAATTGTGCGCCCCATGGGTCTCCCGGTCGTGGCCGGTTATGACAGAGCCTGGATTCGAACCAGGATCTCTAGTGGCACAGCTAGGGAGACCACTCCATTCATACATCTCTATTTTCTATTGTTAAAGGACACAAAGACACACTTACAAGTTAGAGTTGGGTTTTATCTTTACGTGCTGTCAGAATATAAACAGAAAACCCAATCTTTAACATCACCAAGGTCACATTTTCTCACGTTTGTTTTGAGAGTTTATTCATATTTCACAACATACTTGTACGTTTCCACCTAGCTCCCACACCAAGACAAATATCTACTGCTATCTTGCAAATCAAATATTTATGAAAAACCCACGTGTCATTGACAAACTGAATATGGGGAGTGATATCCTCTCTATTACTAGTATTGTATTATATATATTACAATATTGTATATTGGACTGGAAGGGTTTCTCCTCCCAGAGCTGAAGGAAATCTTGTGAATTGGGTACAAATGCCTGGTTTCATTTTTTTTGCCACCGTTTCTTTGTAAGCCCATTTCCTTCTGTGCTGGTATGAAAATGCGTGTAAAAAATAAACCCAAATAAACCCTGCAGGGGATTTGGATTTGGAAAGTCACAAAAGGGACTCATATGGTGCCATTATTAATATATTGTTCTCAATAAATACATCAAATTCAAGCTGATCAAAGAAAAGAGCCAGTACCATACATGAAGGTTTGACAAGTGTCCCCTTGGCATTTTTGTGTTTTTACCTTAATTTAACCAGGGGAAACCCATTGAGACAAGGGTCTCATTCACAAGGGTGACCTGGGAACAATAAATCAACATGATCAGTCTTAATACAACACTATCAATTACAGACAGATAAAATTACACAAAAATCAAAACATCAAAACAAGTGCAGTTCTCCTTCACCACATTCCTCATCAAAGTCCCGAACTGACTATTCAAGACCAGAGAGTCAAGCCTCAAAGTGGCCTGCAGGTCATTCCATGCACTAGGGGCACAATAACTAAAAGCAATCTTCTTCTACTCTGTGGAGAACGGCGGAACTTCTAGAACCAGACAGTTTTGAGTCCAATGGTGGCTGGATTTCCAATTAAGAAGTGACCCTGACTTACATAACCTTATATCCTGGCATGCATAACCCAACCCCAACTTCCACCTGTAGTCTTTATTAGGTCTAGGAATTAAACCTCCTAGAGATGATTTTATGTCCATTATCAAATGCACTAGCAGCGCTAAATCAACTGTTACCTTTCCAGTATCCCCCCTCCCCCCCAAAAAAAAATCTTGACCAAATCATTTTATATGCATTTCTAAACCATATATGAGTGGAAGTGTATTTTAAAGGGTATTTTAATATTTATTTTCTCAGAGGAATAGGTAGGGAGTCTTTATGAACACTTATAAACATACACAGTCCTTAAAGGGCGACTGCACTTCCTGATTTGGCTCATTAAGAAATGCTAGCGGCCATGACTGAATTCAAATATGAGTTGGTTTCGGGGTGTGGTTTTATGTGGGTGTCTCATGTGTGTTCGCAGGTGGGAAGAGTTAGCCAAATAATTTTGCCAATTAGCTTAAGCCGGCTCGTGATAGAGGCTGTCAATAAATTACACAATGTCAATGATACAATATTTTCATGTTGCACACCTTTTAGTTTTCTCATTAAATGCTTTCAATATTTGTATATGAATTTCTACAATTGAAGTGCCTTTGAGTGTGTCAAGAACGGCAACGCTGCTGTGTTTTTCACGCTCAACAGTTTCCTGTGTGTATCAACAATGGTCCACCACCCAAAGGACATCAAGCCAACTTCACACAAGTGTGGGAAGCATTGGAGTTCAACATGGGCCAGCATCCCTGTGGAATGCTTTCGAAACCTTGTAGAGTCCATCCCCTGACCAATTGAGGCTGTTCTGAGGGCAAAAGGGGGTGCAACTCAATGTTTAGTACACTCAGTGTATATATATTTGTTTGTATTGTATTATGCCCTTACCCCCCTCTCCCCTAGTTGGAGGACTTGGTGGAAAACATTACAATTCAACAATATATATACAGTACCAGTCAAAAGCTTGGACACACCTACTCATTCCATTGTTTTTGTTTTTCTTTATTTGTACTATTTTCTACATTATAGAATAATAGTGAAGACATCAAAACTATGAAATAACACTATGGAATGATGTAGTAACCAAGAAAGTGTTAAAACAATCAAAATATATGTTATATTTGAGATTCTTCAAATAGCCACCCTTTGCCTTGATGACCGCTTTGCACACTCTTGGCATTCTCTCAACCAGCTTCACCTGGAATGCTTTTCCAACAGTCTTGAAAGAGTTCCCACATAAACTGAGCACTTGTTGGCTGCTTTTCCTTCACTCTGCGGTACGACTCATCCCAAACCATCTCAATTGGGTTGAGGTCGGGGGATGTGGAGGCCAGGTCATCTGATGCAGCACTCCATCACCCTCCTTCTTGGTAAAATAGCCCTTACACAGCCTGGAGGTGTGTTGGGTCATTGTCCTGTTGAAAAACACATGATAGTCCCACTAAGCCCAAACCAGATGGGATGGCGTATCACTGCAGAATGCTAAATAAATCACAGACAGTGTCACCAGCAAAGCACCCCCACACCATCACACCTCCTCCTCCGTGTTTCACGGTGGGAACTACACATGCGGAGATCATCCGTTAACCTACTCTGCGTCTCACAAAGATATGGCGGTTGGAACCAAAAATCTCCAATTTGGACTCCAGACCAAAGGACACATTTCCACCGGTCTAATGTTCATTGCTCGTGTTTCTTGGCCCAAGCAAGTATCTTCTTATTATTGGTGTCCTTTAGTAGTAGTTTCTTTGCAGCAATTCAACCACGAAGGCCTGATTCACACCGTCTCCTCTGAACAGTTGATGTTGAGATGTGTCTGTTACTTGAAGTCTGTGAAGCATTTATTTGGGCTGCAATCTGAGGTGCAGTTAACTCTAATTTATCCTCTGCAGCAGAGGTAACTCTGGGTCTTCCTTTCCTGTGGCGGTCCTCATGAGAGCTAGTTTCATCATAGCGCTTGATGGTTTTTGCGACTGCACTTGAAAAAACTTTCAAAGTTCTTGAAATGTTCCGTACTGACTGACCTTCATGTCTTAAAGTAATGATGAACTGTAATTTCTCTTTGCTTATTTGAGCTGTTCTTGCCATAATATGGACTTAGTCTTTTACCAAATAGGGCTATCTTCTGTATACCAACCCGTACCTTGTCACAACACAACTGATTGGCTCAAACGCATTAAGAAGGAAATAAATTCCTCAAATTAACTTTTAACAAGGCACACCTGTTAATTGAAATGCATTCCATGTCACTACCTCATGATGCTGGTTGAGAGAATGCCAAGAGTTTGCAAAGCTGTCATCAAGGCAAAGGGTGGCTACTTTGAAGAATCTCAAATATAAAATATATTTTGATTTGTTTAACACTTTTTTGGTTACTACATGATTCCATATATGTTATTTCATAGTTTTGATGTCTTCACTATTATTCTACAATGTAGAAAATAGTACAAATAAAGAAAAACCCTGGAATGAGTAGGTGTGTCCAAACTTTTGACTGGTACTGTATATGGGTATTTTTGTGTGGATTCAAATGGAGAAAGCTCGAGGTGTCTTGTTATCAGATGCAAAAGAAACATAGCATGATCAGTTACTTTTGTGAATGCAATCTTTATCCAAATAGTATGGTATCCAGTTTCGACAGCACGTGCTCTCGACATCTGCAGAGCATGCAGTGTAGCCTGTGCATTACCCATTTCAGCACTGTGGAAAACAGACAGATAATGGATTTTGTCGTAATTTTGTCAATTAAACTATTATGCCTGTAGGATATCTGCGTTCGCCGGCTTCGCTTTTATCGAAGGATTTGACGTTTTTATGCAGCGCTTGTTGCTGGAGCTCATGCCGCGTCTCGGTCTTGAGTGCTGTGGCAAGCACGCACGTCCCTCTCATTGGCTCGCGTTGAACTCTGTATATGATGCAGGTGCACTTGGAAGAATGGTATTGCTTGATATAACATAGCCTTTTCAAAATCCAATTATTTAAACGATATGATGGGCTTCTCCGTTCGTGTTCTTTTAATAGTAGCCCAGCATAATCTACCGGGCATCATTTTGACACCTAAGTGACGACACCTTTGGCACATTGATTTGTTGACAGGCAGAGACTCTTTTACTGTATGTCCTTGAACTCACTGTGCTTTCCTCGTGAGGGGGAATGAGAGACTGCCAGCAATGCTGTGACGCTCGTAAGAAATGCGTGGGAAATCTCTTATCGACAAGGCATTTAGTTATTGGAGAGCATTTTACGCACGCGTTTGGGGTGATGATAATGCGGTGCGCGGAATGGGAGCATCTCTTTGATGTTCAAAGATAGTAGTGGTCATAGGGTAGGCTAGTAGCCTACATATAGGCTACAAACGTTTTTTTCATAGATGCTCAAGTAGAACACCGAATGATATCTGAAAGGCCGCTCGCGGCTCATTGATTTATAATTTTTAAATGCCAAAACAGGACCTTCCCAAATGAAAGGCAATTTTTGAAGAGTCTATAACAAAAATATAACAGCTAAAACTGACTTCAACCAATTGCTTTTAATGTTTTATTTGTCGCCTTGTTCATATTATAATAACCAATGTTTGATAGCTTTTGATATATCATAGGAAATAAGAAGTAGATGTGTTGCCGTTTAATTAAACAAATCTAAACCCTTAATACAACATCATCAATGTAAATGCAAAACAGTAGGCTACAGGTATGTCTTTCAGAGGGTAACAATGAGCAGGTGGATCATGCATAAACTCTATCCGCTAGAATGTTCAAAGAATGTAAAGTGATCCCCTCACCAAGTTGATGTTATCTGTAATATGCAGGACACTGCTAGTTTCAACTCAATGGTAGAAAAGTAGAACATTGTCGCATGTTTACTTCAGGGTATTTGATCAATTAGACTGCAAATAAACGTTTTTTTATTTTTACATTTGTTTTGAATTTACAATGTGCTAATTTTACTTATCAAGCTATTTTCGTTTCTCCCAAATGTATTAAACACTTTGTGTCAGTTGGCAATAGATAAATATGCACAAATCTGATTTATTTAACGGATTTATAGCCTATACAGAGATTATACCTTTCATTCTAAATTCAGAATACAATTAATTGAAATCGACTCACCTGCCCCATTGCAAATTTTCAAAAAGGATGCAAAAAAAAAGGGTAGGATTAGAAGCCGCTGCATTTTGGAGAGCGTCTCTGTCAGGCTCGAGCGGCGCAGGGGAACACAATGAGTTCGTTTTTCAATGTGATCGCATTCTTCTTCTAAGGGGGTCTTATACTTTATTAACAGCCCTGGCCCCTCCCCCTCGGGCATTACTTCTAATAAACATCCCAACCGATAACATCTCCTCTAGTAGCCTATCAATTGCTCACAGATTTACAGAGGTCTTCATTATATGAGAACATTTTCAATAATGAATATGCTGGCATTCATTGACAGTTCAACTGTCAGGGGGTATGAGAAGACTGGCACTAAACTAACACCATGCAGGTAGAGATATCTCATTATACAAAGTGACAACTGACCACCTCTGATTACTTAAACATATCATATCAGTATGTACATTGTTCAAAATCCAAGCTATTCCCCCTCTGGAATGAGGAGGGTGTGGGTAACAGGGGTAATATGTTTCCCCATGACCCCTGTCTTTACCTGACCTGGATCTGGGTGATAAAACGTAATCTCAGCCATGGAGCATCGACCTGTTTTACGTTAAAGTCCCATTAGGTATTCCTCCATCTCTATACAAGATAAGGAGGTTGTCACCTCATCTGTTAGTTATGTTGCACGCACCCAGATACAATGATGTTGTAAAAGCCTGATTGTCCAGTCTCTGAGACCTGGAAACAAACGAACAGGCTGTTTCACTGCTACAGTACTTGTCTTCTGAACACAGTTGCCCCTCAGAGGCCGTAAACAGACACACATGCCTGATTCACAATATAGGTCAGACCCGAACTGTACCGACTGATATTTTCTTTTCACATTGTCCTTTTCAACATGGTAGCAACTATGGTGAATGCGAAACCAGGCCAGCGCAGTACTGCTCGGCTAGGTTCGGCTTAGTAGTGTGACATTATTGTAACATTTTGTGACATTATTGTAACATTTTAACCACTTACGCCTCAGCCAGGTTATTAGCCCATTGTTTATGTTTAACCCTCTTGAAATAACCTAAAATATATTACTGCTTGCCATTCCGATTAGTGTGAGTATGTTGAATAGTACTGGAAAGGTTTTTACGTTACCATCACAAAAGTTATTTCATATCAATATATAACAATAATATTGATTAAAATGAACAGCAAGTTAATATTATTGACCTACATAAACTCTCATTCATGATCTTGACCTAAAATACCAAATGCTTACCTATGTGCTCTATAGCCACTAGGCTACTCATCATGACTTCACATTGTATAAATGTGTAAGTGTGCTACACTACTGCCCATAAATCTATTTCTATGCTACTGCTTCCCTCTGCACCACTAGGGAGTCCCACAGCAATGCATGGAACAATCATATAACCTTACAAAGGATTACACTATCCCCCTGTTCTCTCACTCTCCATAGTATGCTGCCCCCTGTCTACCTTGGCTGCACGTACAAAGAGCCTCTCACCTCCTGGCCATAGAAGCTGTGGTCACTCTGTACAGCTGTCCCCATAGAGGGGGAGAGTTAGTGTGAGTGTGAGAGAGAGATTGTGAGCGAGAGATTGTGTGTGTGTGAGAGTCAGTGAGTGTGAGGGAGAGATATAGTGTGTGAGAGTGAGCGCAAGAGAGAGTGTGAGAGAGAGTTAGTGCGAGAGAGAGATCGAGGTGGAGAGAGTTAGTGAGAGACGGAGAGAGGCTTATAAGTGGACATGGGATTTTAGAGATGAGAGAAGTCATAGAGTTGCGAGTTGTATACCAAGTACGAATGTCAACATCCCCTACCTCCGACACACTGTCAGAACATGAAGTCATTTCTTACAAAGCATTCTGATGAAGCACAGCCTGCGTGGGGGCCTTATTACTCTCCTGTGTCAATGCCATACTGTTGTAGGCATACAGAATGAAAGGTACTGTATTAACTTCAGCCCACCACCATCTTGTGGTCAATTTGGAAAATACAGGAAGTTATTTCTCACTAGGATGTGCCATGGCCGGGGGACCTCTGTCAGTAGCACAGTATTCATGTGAAATAAATAAAAAACAGGATCCAAGGGACATTTATAATCAACTGCAGACTGCCAATATCTCTCAACTGATAGCCGAAAATGACGTATCCCATCCAATTCCTTCTGTCAGGCCATCATGCCTGCTCAGTCAGACTACTGGCATTTCAGCACCTTGTCCAGCGTCTGAGGCTACAACAAGTACAAGACCTCGCCAACTAGAATGTGCAGTTTGAGGTCAACTAATTAATCCTGAATACAATATAAATGTCAATTGAATGATCTTGTCCTTGATATAGTTACCTTTTGAGGGATGGCAAGAGATCTCCACTCCACATGCTATACTTACTGGGTTGAAATAGAGAGGGACGCGTGTGTTGGGGGGGGGGGGGGGGGGCAGTCTCAGCGTGATTGGTGTACTGCCAGCCTTTTGACCTGGATGGGTAGAGAGGGTGGGTAGTCTGAACTCATAGCCTGTTTTGTTCAAAACCCCAAATCGCAGCCTTCCCAAAGGTGAACATACGTCTGAAACAGGTGGGCACCGAAAAGCTTTGTCTGAAGATAATATTACGTCATAAAAACATCAAACACAGAATGGAGATGGGAAGCACATCCATGATATAATCTTTTTTATTTTAACCCTTGACCTTTTACAGTGCATTTAATTTGTTTACACAATTATTTGCTAAGTGACAGGTTTTAGCCACTAGTACACAATCAGATAACTATGTATTATATTACATATCTGGGTTCCACTTCCTCCTCGTTAAGGTTTTGCCTTAATCAACATCGCGTGAAAAGAAAGACCCCAAAAGTTATTAGGCAATGGATAACCATGACAACCATACAGACTCACTATTTCATTTAAATCTTCAGTTCATTCATTTATTAACAAATCAATCTCATTATCTTTATCTAATGGACATTTCCCTGTTCTGATATTTAAATAATTTCCATGTTGTTAAAGCAGCTCTCCGTACCATTAAAACAAACCAAGCAGTGGCCAGTTAGTTAACCTGCTGTCGTCTCCACAAGAAAAAGGCTTTCAAAAATAAAAAGACCAAAATAAAGAAAATATGGCACTATTGTCTCAAGGAACACCAATTAGACAAAACAAATGGATCACTTTTTGCAATAGAACAATTTGTGGGAACCACAGCCAAACTCTGGCACGGCATCCAAACTGATTTAGCTACGTTCCACAACAGTTTCACTTCAGTTTGGAAACATGGCAAACTCAGTTTAGATACAAGGCTTTTTAATGCCAGGTTCTAACATTCTGGGACAGGAACCTGACAAGGAGGATTGATCGAACGATTGATTTATCAATCGATTAAACAATCAATCAAAAGACGAGGATTGAACAGTCAATCAAAGCAGAACAATGTTACTGTACATCAACATCAACCCTCTCTCACACACATCACTGTAGAAATATACTCCATTATTCAAAACCCCTCCATCCATCCATCCATCCCTCCCTCCCCATCAGCTAATGTCCATCAAGTACTTTCCAGTGATCTTTCAAGTCATATTGTATGACAACATTGCAGAAAACCCTCTATTTGGAAACACAGCAACAACTTTCCTTGTCTGGATGCTTAGCCATTGTATATATGTATATTTTTTTTGATCAGGTGCATATACAAATTATTTATCTGTTATAAACCTTTCTCGATACAAATTGTGGGGTACCTCAAATGTTCAAACCATTGTGACAGGGCTATACTTGAGCATAGCATTGATAAAGACAGAACCACATTAACTGTGCATATTTTTCTTTTTTGAAATAACACATTGCAGGAATGAAAAAGTACACAACCCACATAATGTGCATTAACATAAACGGTAACACTTTACTTGACACCCAGTGTCATAACACGTTATGACAGTCATAACCATGTCATAATATGTCATAACAGCTGACATAACTTGTCATAACATGGTCATAACATTGTCATGACCCATATATTTACACCTGTTGTGACATCTATTGTGTTATTTTATGGCTGGTTATGACACCTACATAAGACTGTCAAAACTCTTTTTTTTTTTTCAAATACGTTTTTTCCCTGCCAAGATGTTTCCTTTCATTTGAATGTTTGTTTCTTAAATCCTTTGTTGTTGTTGTAATGAATTCTTTACAGTCATGTTTATTTCATCATATTTTAAATAACTTGTAGAAAATACACTTTCACACTGTCAAGAAGCATTATGACCACCCTGTGTCACTTTACTTGGACTAAGAAAATATACTTTATGTCACTGTCAAGAAGCATTATGACCATCACAATCATATAAGCCAGATAGGCCTATCATGTACACTACCAGTCAACATTTTGGACACACCTACTCATTCAAGGGTTTTTCTTTATTTTTAATATTTTCTACATTGTAGAATAATAGTGAAGACATCAAAACTATGAAATAACACATATGGAATCATGTAGTAACCAAAAAAGTGTTAAACAAATCAAAATATATTTTATATTTGAGATTCTTGAAATAGCCACCCACCATGCATTTCAATTAACAGGTGTGCCTTCTTAAAAGTTAATTTGTGGAATTTATTTATTTCTTAATGCGTTTGAGCCAATCAGTTGTGTTGTGACAAGGTACGGGTGGTATACAGAAGATAGCCCTATTTGGTAAAAGACCAAGTCCATATTATGGCAAGAACAGCTCAAATAAGCAAAGAGAAACGACAGTCCTTCATTACTTTAAGACATGAAGGTCAGTCAAGAACTTTGAAATTCTTCAAGTGCAGTCGCAAAAAACCATCAAGCGCTATGATGAAACAGGCTCTCATGAGGACCGCCACTGGAATGGAAGACCCAGATTCACCTCTGCTGCAGAGGATAAGTTCATTAGAGTTACCAGCCTCAGAAATTGCATCTCAAATAAATGCTTCACGGAGTTCAAGTCACAGACACATCTCAACATCAACTGTTCAGAGGGGACTGTGTGAATCAGGCCTTCATGTTCAAATTGCTGCAAAGAAACCCCTACTAAAGGACACCAATAAGAAGAAGAGACCTGCTTGGTCCAAGAAACACGAGCAATGGACATTAGACATGTGGAAATGTGTCCTTTGGTCTGGAGTCCAAATTGGAGATTTTTGCTTCCAACCGCCGTGTCTTTGTGAGACGCGGTGAGGGTGAACGGATGATCTCCGCATGTGTAGTTCCCACCGTAAAGCATGGAGGAGGTGTTATGGTGTGGGGGTGCTTTGCTGGTGACACTGTCTGTGATATATTTAGAATTCAAGGCACACTTAACCAGCATGGCTACCACATCATTCCGCAGTGATACGCCATCCCATCTGGTTTGGGCTTAGTGGGACTATCATTTGTTTTTCAACAGGACAATGACCCAACACACCTCCAGGCTGTGTAAGGGCTATTTTACCAAGAAGGAGAGTGATGAAGTGCTGCATCAGATGACCTGGCCACCACAATCCCCCGACCTCAACCCAATTGAGATGGTTTGGGATGAGTCGGACGGCAGAGTGAAGGAAAAGCAGCCAACAAGTGCTCAGCATATGTGGGAACTCCTTCAATACTGTTGGAAAAGCATTCCAGGTGAAGCTCATTGAGAGAATGCCAAGTGTGCAAAGCTGTCATCAAGGCAAAGCGTGGCTATTTGAAGAATCTCAAATATAAAATATATTATGATTTGTTTAACACTTATTTGGTTACTACATTATTCCATATGTGTTATTTTATAGTTCTGATGTCTTCACTACTATTCTACAATGTAGAAAATAGTAAAAAATAAAGAAAAACCCTTGAATGAGTAGGTGTGTCCAAACTTTTGACTGGTAGTGTACATGCCCTCATATCAGTCAAAAAGAGTGTGTCTTGTCCTGCTCCTGAAATCTGCTCCTGCATTCATCCCAGTCATCAGCAACAGAGCATTGGGGTAGGTGCATGTCTGACATCAATGTGTGCGCAATTACAATGTTAATTTAATATGGTCAACTTAAAATATATAATGTCATAACTAGCCATAAAATAACTACAGTGGTAGGTTTTGTGGGTTTCTACACTCTTATGTAGGTGTCATAACCAGCCATAAAATATCACATATGTCACTACAGGTCTAAATATATGTGTTATGACCATGTTATAACAGGTTATGACAAGTTATGTCAGCTGTTATGACATATTATGAAATGGTTATGACCGTGTCATAACGTGTTATGATGCTGGGTGTGAAGTGTTACCACATAATCAAATCTAATCATCAGTCTTCCAGTTACTCCAACACACTTGTCCATTTCATTTCAAACATTTACATTCAAGCTCCACAAAAAGACACGACAGCAAGTAAACAGCAGATTTCTCCCTTTCGCTCGAGTTTGGTCTCAAATTCCCTCAAATACACAAACAGCTTGTAGTGCACAAAATAACAAGAATACAAAATTAGACTTAAATACTGTAGCAGCATTTTTTCTTTTTCTTGGTAAAGTTGTCATCAGCCTCCATTTAACAGGTAAAGGCTTTGGAGTCCCCAACACTTGGGAGGGTGAGAGATTGTCCTCGGAGGTGAGTAGGTGGGTGTATGTGTGTGTGTTTCGGGTGGGGAGGCACATTATGGGGTGGGTGGTTGGTTGGTGTGTGAGAGGGATGCACCAGAGTGGGGGTGGACATTCAGGCAGGTTTGAGATGGCGCTACAGGAGCAGGGGGGTGGCATGGGGCATCAGGGGGGTATCTGAGGCACCAGTGGAGGACAATAGCCCCAGGGCAGGGCAGCAGGACGCTGCAGCCTTCCTTCCAGGCTGGAAATGTGTTAGACCAAAAGGGGTTCAGCTCAGTGGGATAGCCTCCATAACAGCCGCTCATCTTCCTCCATCTCTTCCTCATCCATCTCATTCACTGCCATCCCCTATCCTCTTCCACTCCTCAGTCAGTCGCTCTCCTCCACTCGAGTCCTTAGTCAGTCTCTCATCCCCAGCGGTCAGTGGCCTCTCTCCATTCTCAAGCTTTGCCTCCCTCCCACACAGCAACGACAAGTCCTCCTCATCTTCCCCCACAACCAAGACCAGACCACGTTAGGGTAGTAGGAGTGGGGCACTTGGCTCAAGCTGATCCAAGACAGTGCTAATCCAGGTCCTAACCGGGCCAAACTGAACTAGGCCAGGCCAGACTGAGCCAGGATTGGGACACTCAGTAAGGGGCTCTCTCTCCTGTCTCTCAGCTGGAGGCTGTGGCGATGGGCTTCTTGAGCTGCTGGCTGCAGATCTCTCTGTTCCTAGCCTCCAGCAGCAGGTCGTAGCAGACGTTACACACTAACACAGGGTCGTACAGCTTCTGGTCTGGGATGGGCAGCTTCAGGTGGCAGCAGTCTTTACAGAACACATTGCCACAGTTCCTAAAGGAGGGAGAAGGGCAAACAAATCAACAACTAGATTCACATTTTAGTAATTTAGCAGATGCTCTTATCCTGAGAGTGCATTCAACTAAGGTAGGGAAAGCAACCAAATATCACAATAACTGCAAGTAAAACGTTCTTAAAAACAGCTGATATCTGCAACTAGCTTCACTAAAGACGCAGGAGATGTCATACGTGCTACTAAGTCCTTATCTCAAATCATGGTAGGTGTGGTATAAAATCTGCTGTTTATGCTATATTTATTATCCTACACTTTACCATTGATCACTAATGTAAGCATTAGTCAAGAAGTCAAAATGTAAAGCTAAACAAACCTGCAGTGATGACGTCGCTTGGCCATCCAGAACTCACAGTCGCAGTTGAAACAATGGGAGGCCATGTGATCGGGCACCCACCTGGTGACCTGCAGATACACACACGCACACATTCATTTCTATTAGAACAGTGTGTGACACATACAGTGCTTTCAGAAAGTATTCACAGCCCTTGACTTTCTCCACATTGTTGTGTTAAAATGGATTAAATTGAGAGTTTTTGTCACTGGCCTACACTGGCCCCATCATGTCAAAGTGGAATTAATAAAAAATGAAAAGCTTAAATGTCTTGAGTCAATAAGTATTCAACCCCTTTGTTATGGCAAGCCTAAATAAGTTCAGGAGTAAAAATTTGCTTAACAAGTCACATAATAAAGTTGTATGGACTTTCTGTGCAATACAGGGTTAACATGATTTTGGAATGACTACCTCATCTCTGTACCCCACACGGTCCCTCAGTCAAGCAGTGAATTTCAAAAACAGATTCAAGCACAAAGACCAGGGAGGTTTTCCAATGCCTTGCAAAGAAGGGCACCTATTGGTAGATGGCTAAAAATTAAAAAGGCATTTATTGAATATCCCTTTGAGCATGGTGAAGTTATTAATTACACTTTGGATGGTGTATCAATACACCCAGTCACTACAAAGATACAGGTGTCCTTCCTAACTCAGTTGCCGGAGAGGAAGGAAACCGCTCAGGGATTTCACCAGTTACAGAGTTTAATGGCTGTGATATGAGAAAACTGAGGCTTGATCAACAACATTGTAGTTACTCCACAATACTAACCTAATCGAGAGTGAAATTTGAAAAGAATAATGGGCAAATGTTGCACAATCCAGGTGTGGAAAGCTCTTAGAGACTTACCCAGAAAGACTCACAGCTGTAATCACTGTCAAAGGTGCTTGTATTGACTCAGGCCTGTGAATACTGATGTACTGTAAATGAGATATTTCTGTATTTCATTTTTAATAAATTTGCTACAATTTCTAAAAACATGTTTTCACTTTGACATTATGGGGTATTGTGTGTAGATGGGGATAATTATTTTTATCCATTTTGAATTCAGGCTGTAACAACAAAATGTGGAATAAGTCAAGGGGTATAAAAACTTTCTGAAGGCACTGCACGTATCTGGGGCAGAAAGGTAGAAAGGTGAGTGGGAGAGGAGAGGCTGTAGTATACAGTGTAGTATTTAGGTTAGGGGGTTAGGGTTATATATAAGAAGCAGTAGAGAGAGAAACCTGAAGCAGACTATGAGGGACGCTGACCTCTGAGTCCTTCTGCTCCACTGTGTCCCAGCTGCCCTCGGAAAAACAGTCCTCGCTGTGGTCCGACAGACTGTCCTCCTCGTCACTGTCGTCTGACTCACGCAGACACGTCTGGAGACGGAGAGGACAGACAGGGGACAGACAGGGAACAGAGAGGTCAATATGAGAGGGAGGGAGACAGGTTGAGAGCGAGAGACAGATAGGTTGAGAGCGAGAGAGACACTGTTCCACACCTTTTTCACTTCACATACAGATGTCCATCACAACTATTGAGGGATTGGCTATCTGTTAAGGCATTGATATCCTTTCACAGTACAGTAATAATACATTGGGGGGTTTCTCAACACTGGGTTACTGTTTAAAGTCTACATGTGAGAGCTACTCACAATGTCGTCCTCGTAGTCGACGTCAGGCTCGGAGGGCGGCGTACCATACGGTCTCTCCAGCCTCATCTGCAGCTGGCGCACCTGTCTCCTCAACACTTCCACTTCCTGTTTATATCCCGCCTCGATCTGCCTGAGACGCTGCTGCACCGCGTCCATGGGCACCGGCAGCCCGTCATCATCCAGGTAGGCCGGGGGGGGCTGGGAGGGCGGGGGGGAGGCTGAGGAGGAGGGAGAGGCTGAGAAGAACTGGCGGGTTGAAGAGGTGGGTGGGGTGCTGGTGCTGGTTGGGCCGCAGATGGCAGCATAGCCCGAGCTGCTTCTGACTGCAGAGAGCCAGCCTGACCCTGACTGGACCGGGCTGGAGCTGGCTGGGGCTGGAGCCGGGCCACGGACCCTTTCCTCCTTCTCCCTTCGGCAGCACTGCGAACCTCCGTTAGGCAACACGGCCATGCCCTGGGCACGGAGCAGCTTGCCAGCCAGGCGCCGACTCTGGTAGGCGGTGGGCTGGAGGGCCCGACAGAGACCTGCGGAGAGATTGGCTGAGAGGCCAGACTGGCTGGTTGCGGTGCTGCAGGCAGACTGTACCAGGCCCTGGACACTCTCCCAGTGGGAGCCCAGGAGAGACAGCTCCTCACTGACACTCAGTTGGCTCTGGGAGACTGGGCTTCGCACTGCCACTACCTGGCTGTTGTCAACAGGGGGCACTGTAGAGGCGGCAGCCATTGCTACTGTTGGTACTGTTACCACACATTCTCTCAGAGGCACCAACTCTCTACCACTCACACACTCTGTCCTCTTCCCTTTTCTCTCCGCTCCCTGGGCCTGGGACTGGGTCTGGGCTTGGGGTAAGGCCCACTCTGGGCCCTGGGTCTGGCCTAGACTTTCTCTCCTACTGTGGGGGCAGTGTTGGTGGGGCCTCTACCTTGTCCGTGAGGGTCTCTGTGGAGTCCTCCGTGGCCATAGGGAGTAGGGGAACTAGCTGCTCGAGGGCCAGCAGCTCTGCAGACGTTGAGTGGCTGTTCTGGAGGCCGTTGGTGATAGGCCCATTCAGAACAGCTGCCGGTAGTGGGCCCTTCCAGGCAGGTGGGGAAGGTAAGCATGCTTCTGCTGCCCGAGCAGGGGGGGTAGTGACCTCAGCAGTCCTGTAGCGGCTGTCAACCGCCTGTTGTGGCAAGGGAGGGGGAGGGCGTGGGGGGCTGGTGGTCTGGGGGAGGGAATGGAGGAGAATGGGTGTGGGCAGGGGGAGAGGGGAGGGGTGGGGGAAGCCCTTCTCCAGAGTGATGGGGGGGAGGGGCAGGGATGGCAGAGGTTGTGTCGTCAGACAGATCTCCTCTCTCAATTCCTCCTCCTCGAAGCCCTCTTCCCTTGGCTCCATCTCCAGGGGTGTGGTAGGAGGAGTCTGAGTGACAGGCTCCACCTCAGAGTCATCACTGTCCAATCCCGTGTCAGGGCTGACGTCCTCGGGGCTATCGGGTGCGGCCCCTCCTCCTATAGCAGCCATAGGCTCCAAGCCATGGGCAGTACGGCCCTCCTGGCAGTGCTTGTTGAGGTTGGGGTCGCTGGAGGTGCGGGTGAGGACCACCCCGTTCTCACAGGCCGACACCAGGTTGTCCATGGAGCGAGTCTTAGGAAGCCTGCACAAAGGGGAAAAAATAACAATCTCAAGTTGGAGCTTCCCTCATCCGTGAGCTTCCCTTCTGTACCACTAGATAGCAGGCTGGATCTGAGCAACACTAGAGATGTAGCTAGTGAGCCTAGCCTACCTGCAGTTTTCACCACAAGCCTGTTCCCTCTTTATTTAATAAGAAGTGAAAAGAGAGAGCTCAGAGCAATACAAGGAGCACAATGATGGTTTGAGATCAAATTCAGTAAATGGTCTCACAAAACCACTAATGGGCTGTATTGATGACTAGAGACTGAGATGGAAGAATGGAGTGAGTGGGTAAGGGATAGCCCCACCTGTCGAGGGATCGTGAGGTGAGCTCGTCTCCCTGTGCGCTGGGGGACAGGTAGAGCTCCATGGCGTTCTCGGCAGCGGTGCAGGGTGAGGAGGTGGGCAGGTAGACGGCCGTCCATAGCTGCAGGGCCCGGGTGTGGCACACCGGCTGCAGCACCTGGACACAGGGGACAGGGAGGAGAGGAGAGGAGCAGGGGACAGGGAGGAGAGGAGCAGGGGACAGGGAGGAGAGGAGCAGGGGACAGGGAGGAGAGGAGCAGGGGACAGGGAGGAGAGGAGCATTTTCTATAAATGAATCGTGCCCATCACCTGAGTATATTTGGGTGAGTGCATCTTTCCTTTCTTTTAAAGGTCAACAAAAGTATCAAAAAGCTCCACTCATTTCAGACACACTATGAGCCCGGGCGTCATCAGAAGTGTATTGGACTTTGGAAAGATTGATACCTTGTGTCTCAATATGAAAATGGAGGAGAGAAAATAAAAGATGACGCGATCGTCGTGGTTACCATATCATGACAGGGGATATAAAGGAAGTTCTGGAAGTTCTTGTTGCCGGGGCGGAGCAGAGACCAGATGGAGCAGGTGCGTTTGTAGATGTTGCGGGCCTCTCTCTCCCGCCCGTTGTTACACAGGAACGTCCCGTACAGACACGAGTATGTGTGCTGAACCAGCTTGACCTGGGGGAAGAGGAACACAACACAGTTAGCCCTATAAACATTCCTTACAAAACATACAACAGTACACTCTTAAACACAGTACAAAGTTATATATACAGTTAGGCCTTTACAGCGGCATAAAATATTGTATGTACACTTTAAGACAATACACATAATACTGTGTTCAAAGGTTACTGTCTGATACCTCTTAAGTACAAACGTTAAAGAAATCTTTAAGAAATGTCCTATGCCAACAGAAGAGCAGTAAAAAGTGCCAGGCTTTCTAAAGGTAGAAAGAGAGAGAAGGTAAGGGCAAAGAGAGAGAGGGGAGAAAAAGAGAGAAGAGAATGATTGGGTAAAGAAAAGAGAGAAAGAAAGAAATTGAAAAGGAGAGGTGGTAAGTGTAGCCTACTGTACATACCAGGAATGCCTCGTTGAACTCGAAGAGGCAGGGGAACTGTTTGAGTAGCTGGTGAACACAGTCTAGCCACTGTAGGAAGACAGGGCACTGCTCACTCACATCATCAGCATTCTCCTGGTGACCGCAGCGGTCGCCAAACTTATGACCATAGTCCAACCACTCTGTCTCCACCAGCACCTGGAAACCCTGTGGATTGGGGGGGGGTTCAGTTGTGTCTCTCACACCATGGCATAAAAAAGGTGTGTATGTGTGTTTTTGGTAAATTCAATAGGGTGTGCGGAACAATTGGTAATACCATGAACTTACTATCAAAATGTAACAAAACCTGACATTTGCTGCATCAGTGTTAGTCTTAGTGACCACAGTATCCTAAGGGCCAGGGGTCAGAGTGTGTGAGAGAGTGAGTGTGAGTGTGAGTGTGTGTGTGTGTGTACCTCTAGTGTCCTATAGAAGGGGTCCAGCAAGATCTTGGCAAGAGCCACAATCTGGGGGGTGCGGTCCCACCCGTCCGAACAATGTACCAGAGCAGGACGTCCCTCCCTTTCCACCGCAGAGCACACCAGAGTGGCTGCCTTCAGCATGACGGACAGGTGCTGCAGCCAACGGGTGCTCTCCAGAGCAGAAAGCCAGCTGGGAATACACAAGCCGAAGGGGGACCAATCAGAACAGGTCTAGAGGTTTTAGAATGTATTCTGAGGGAGGTAAAAAAATAACGCTGGGTTGAGTAAACGGAGGTAACCCTGAGGACACCGGGGAGGGGGTTGTGGCAGGGGTAAGTGGAGCCCCTGACCTAAATCTGTAATGGGCTCTGTCATTTTAAAAAGGGGTCACTACAGCACCTCTTTTAGAATACCAGGAAATCTACCACTAGAATAGCCCTCGTGTGCATCATGTGATGTCACTGATTCCTGTTTGGGAGTTGGGGCATGCACTGTTTACATGCAAGGAGACACTCACACACATAAGACCTGGGACAAATATTATTTGAAATCTTTCAAGTACTTAGAGCATTTGCTTTAGGCTGCCTAGAATGCCAGGTGGGTAGGGTTTGCCCTTTTGGGACTCTTCTATTGCTTCCATTGCGACAGGCAAGCTCAATAAAAAATCACAGTTCAAGTATTTGAAATAATTTCAAATAATATTTGAACCCAGGTTTGAGAGACACACACACAAACACCACAAACACACACTTCAGACAGACAGCTGGCCTGCCCAGCGGGAATGGGGCTGGATTGTGACTGGATGCATTCCCCTTCTCCCTGTGGTATAACCTTACTGAGGCCTGGAGAACGGATGGAGGGATGAAAGGAGAGAGAAAAGGATGGCGGGAGGGAGAGAAAGGTCAGAGGGATCCACTTACTTCCCAGGGTCGGGGATCTGGCTACAGACTGTTCGGAGGGACTGGAAGCTGTTCCTAATGGAGTGGATGTTGGCCATGCCCATGAACATCACCTCACAGTTAGGGTAGTACTCTGAAAACAAAAACATCCACAAAAACAAAAACAATCACTCAGACTACAGTTAGGGTAATACTAGGAAACGCACAGGAACACACACACAATAACTTCAGTCACATGGGGTATTAGTACTCTGCAGACAGACACAGAGACAATAATATCATCAGTCAGAATAAAACAGACAACAAGTACAATCTTTACTGCTTAGGGAGAGTGAGCTGTAAAGATGATTGATTACGGTTGTCTTCCAGCTCAGAACACATCCACTTGAAAGAAAACAGGCTAGGCTACTGTCAGGTGGTTTGACGGATTGACAGGTCTGAATGTCAACAAGACCAATGTGAGCGGCTCACGACACCATCTCCCAGAGAGAGAAATAGACCCACAGTATGGGGCCATGTCATGTTACGCCTCCGCCTTTTGTTTTAAGATGGTCATAATATGGATCATTGAGCTATTTGATTTTGAATTTTAGGACCCCTTTCGGTATAAAAAATACATATTTGATAAAATATTGGATTTGGCCTTTACTACTATAGCCCAGAGAAACGCATTGAATAACACATTCATAAATGTCAAAAAAGACAGTCAAATAATAAATCATAAGAAACAAGGTTTTGAAGTGTCTGTCCTATATCTAGGAGATATAAGAAAGCTCAGGAAAAAAAAAATGTATGTACTTTTTTTCACACATATTTAACCCTTTTTTTGAGTAGGCAAAAAACGACCTTCATACTTTTTTTTACTGGTACCGATAAAAAGACGAGTCCCCTGACACTTATGGGGGGCCGTAGAGCAAAACAGAGACAACCATCGTGTTCATGAGAGTCTCCCCTTTCCATAGAATGGTCATAATAGTATGTCAAACTGTTCGGACGCTACGGACGTTTTTGTGAGAAGACCGCGGATGAGGTGGATTGAGACGCATTCCAATGCAAAAAACATATATCCATCTTAAACTGACAGATTTTGACTAGGGATTTTTTTAGTATGTTACTTAGATTGGGGGGACTCTAGGGGGTTATCCAACATTACATGACTGGCATTTAATCAATTTTAGAATAAGGCTGTAACCTAACAAAATGTGGAAAAAGTCAAGGGGTCTGAATACTTTCCGAAGGCAGTGTATATGCAGTATAAGGTGAATGCACCAATTTGTAAGTCGCTCTGGATAAGAGCGTCTGCTAAATGACGTAAATGTAAATCTATAGTGGCTTGCGAAAGTATTCACCCCCCTTGGCATTTTTCCTATTTTGTTGCCTTACAACCTCGAATTAAAATGGATTTTTGGGGGGTTTCTATCATTTCATTTACACAACATGCCTACCACTTTGAAGATGCAAAATATTTTTTACTGTGAAACAAACACGAAATAAGACAAAAAAACTGAAAACTTGGCCCCCCCACAAAGTCAAGACTTTGTAGAGCCACCTTTTGCAGCAATTACAGCTGCAAGTCTCTTGGGGTATGTCTCTATAAGCTTGGCACATCTAGCCATTGGGTTGTTTGCCCATTCTTCAAGGCAAAACTGCTCCAGCTCCTTCAATTTGGATGGGTTCCGTTGGTGTACAGCAATCTTTAAATCATACCACAGATTCTCAACTGGATTGAGGTCTGGGCTTTGACTAGGTCATTCCAAGACATTTAAATGTTTCCCCTTAAACCACTCGAGTGTTGCTTTAGCAGTATGCTTAGGGTCATTGTCCTGCTGGAAGGTGAACCTCTGTCCCAGTCTCAAATCTCTGGAAGACTGAAACAGGTTTCCCTCAAGAATTTCCCTGTATTTAGCGCCATCCATCATTCCTTCAATTCTGACCAGTTTCCCAGTCCCTGCTGATTAAAAACATGGTGTTCTCGGGGTGAGGAGAGGTGTTGGGTTTGCGCCAGACATTGCGTTTTCCTTGATGGCCAAAAACCTCAATTTTAGTCTCATCTGACCAGAGTACCTTCTTCCATATGTGTATTTAACTAATTATGTTTCTTCTGAAGGTAATTGGTTGCACCAGATCTTATTTGGGGGCTTCATAGCAAAGGGGGTGAATACATACAGTGAGGGAAAAAAGTATTTGCTCCCCTGCTGATTTTGTACGTTTGCCCACTGACAAAGACATTATCAGTCTACAATTTTAATGGTAGGTTTATTTGAACAGTGAGAGACAGAATAACAACAAAGAAATCCAGAAAAACGCATGTCAAAAATGTTATAAATTGATTTGCATTTTAATGAGGGAAATAAGTATTTGACCCATCTGCAGAACATGACTTAGTAGTTGGTGGCAAAACCCTTGTTGGCAATCAGAGGTCAGACGTTTCTTGTAGTTGGCCACCAGGTTTGCACACATCTCAGGAGGGATTTTGTCCCACTCCTCTTCTCCAAGTCATTAAGGTTTCGAGGCTGACGTTTGGCAACTCGAACCTTCAGCTCCCTCCACAGATTTTCTATGGGATTAAGGTCTGGAGACTGGCTAGGCCACTCCAGGACCTTAATGTGCTTCTTCTTGAGCCACTCCTTTGTTGCCTTGGCCGTGTGTTTTGGGTCATTGTCATGCTGGAATACCCATCCACGACCCATTTTCAATGCCCTGGCTGAGGGAAGGAGGTTCTCACCCAAGATTTGACGGTACATGGCCCCGTCCATCATCCCTTTGATGCGGTGAAGGTGTCCTGTCCTCTTAGCAGAAAAACACCCCCAAAGCATAATGTTTCCACCTCCATGTTTGACGGTGGGGATGGTGTTCTTGGGGTCATAGGCAGCACTCCTCCTCCTCCAAACACGGCGAGTTGAGTTGATGCCAAAGAGCTGGATTTTGGTCTTATCTGACCACAACACTTTCACCCAGTTCCCCTCTGAATCATTCAGATGTTCATTGGCAAACTTCAGACGGGCCGGTATATGTGCTTTCTTGAGCAGGGGGACCTTGCGGGCGCTGCAGGATTTCAGTCCTTCACGGCGTAGTGTGTTACCAATTGTTTTCTTGGTGACTATGGTCCCAGCTGCCTTGAGATCATTGACAAGATCCTCCCGTGTAGTTCTGGGCTGATTTCTCACCGTTCTCATGATCATTGCAAGTCCACGAGGTGAGATCTTGCGTGGAGCCCCAGGCCGAGCGAGATTTACAGTTCTTTTGTGTTTCTTCCATTTGCGAATAATCGCACCAACTGTTGTCACCTTCTCACCAAGCTGCTTGGCGATGGTCTTGTAGCCCATTCCAGCCTTGTGTAGGTCTACAATCTTGTCCCTGACATCCTTGGAGAGCTCTTTGGTCATTGCCATGGTGGAGAGTTTGGAATCTGATTGATTGATTGCTTCTGTGGACAGGTGTCTTTTATACAGGTAACAACCTGAGATTAGGAGCACTCCCTTTAAGAGTGTGCTCCTAATCTCAGCTCATTACCTGTATAAAAGACACCTGGGAGCCAGACATCTTTCTGATTGAGAGGGGGTCAAATACTTATTTCCCTCATTAAAATGCAAATCAATTTATAACATTTTTGACATGCGTTTTTCTGGATTTTTGTTGTTATTCTGTCTCTCACTGTTCAAATAAACCTACCATTAAAATTATAGACTGATCATGTATTTGTCAGTGGGCAAACATACAAAATCAGCAGGGGAGCAAATACTTTTTTCCCTCATTGTATGCACGCACCACTTTACGGTTATGAATTTTTTTTAGAGGTTTTTTTTTCACTTCACCAATTTGGACTATTTTGTGGATGTCCATTACATGAAATCCAAATAAAAATCAATTTAAATTACAGGTTGTAATGCAAAAAAATCCGAAATACGCCAAAGGGGATGAATACTTTTGCAAGGCACTGTAATTAAGTCTCATTAAAGTTTGGCTACATTTTCTGGCGCTTCCCTAATGTCAGCATCTTTGTGGACATGAGAGGCTGTAGCCAATACGCATTGTCTATCACCTACACTTTGACATGTAGACTAATTATTATGTACATACACTTTTGGTTTTCAAATTAATTTAATTGACTATTTTGGTTAATGGCCTTGGTGCCATAGCAGAATTGGCACCTCTTGAAGGCCAAATGGCCTTGTCCCTAAAATCACGAAATTCCAGGCCTGGTGTGTCCTGACCTTCACACTCGCAGCCACCTCCCTTGGCGCGATTGGCCACTGCAGCGGTGTAGGAGCGGGCGTCGAGAATGAGAAGCTTCTGTGGCGCAGCGTTGGCATCAGGGCCTGGGCATCCTGTCAGAGAGGAGTCTGAGGCAGAGAGAGAGAGCGAGGAGGAGGATTTAGATTTCAGTTTTAGTGGTGTGGGGGACAGGTAGAGCCAGAATGAGGGAAGGAGAGAAAAAGAGATGGAATGGTGCAGATAGGAGAGAGGTAGAGAGAATGAGAAATGTGAGGTGGAGGGAGGTAAAGAGAATGATAGAAGGAGAGTTCGGAGGGAGGGAGAGAGAGATGGGGTGGTGTGTATAGGGGACAGGCAGATAAAAAGAGATGGATGGAGAGGGATGAAAGGGATGAGTTGGTGGTGTAGGTGGACAAGTAGAGAGAATGAAAGATTTAGGGATGGGAATAGGAGAGAGAGCGAGAGCGAGCGAGAGAGCTGGAGGGACAGGGGATGGACAGGGGATGAACAATAGTGCTGGCTCAGCTCTCAGCTCGTCCCCTGGAGACGATCAATATCTCATCCTGATGATGACCACTGCAGCATCGCTCAGTAACAGCTACCACGGCGAAGGGAGACAACAACATTGCTAGGGAACTATGATTGCTAGACAGGGCCTCATCATGCCAGCAGACACTTCAGATAGAGTCATTACTCACAGTGGACCAGAGCTACTGGCCTCAATCTCTCACCCACCCAAGTCAATCAATGGCCTGCCATTTAGAGTTAGTCAACATTCTCTGTACTGCATGTCTGTCTAGCCTGGTCACAGATCTGTTTGTGCTGTATAGCCAACTCCTATGGTCAACTCACTCCTATAGTTGGCAATCGAGAACAAACTGATCTGGGACCAGGCTATCCCTCTCCCACTCAACTGAATCAATGTCCTGGCATTCAGGAAGTCAATTCTATTACTCCATGTTACCCTCCTCAACACAGGAAAGTCATGGAAATAGATTCAGGGTGCGTTTAGCCTTTAATTACATCTCTGAAATGGGGTAGTCCCATTCACAGGCTCCGAATCCTGTCCCGCTGTTGATTCTTTGTGAAGAGAAGCCAATATTGTGTGTTCAGTTAGAACAGTGGTGTTGTATAGAAACTCAACAAGCTCAAAGCTGAGGGGCTGTCTAACTGAACACTAGCCAAACTACTCTCTGTGGCTCGTCTCAGAAGAGTCGAGACAGAAACTTGGAGAGTAGTAGACAGTGTGTAGCCCACCGTTGTTCCCCCATCTGCATTCATGTCACAGTCATTTACACACAAAGTGAATGGAAGAGAGAGAGGGAACAGTCGCTCCCAAAATGGGCCCCACATTCTTGGCCACCAACACATAAACAAGGTAACAAATAAAAGAGCCACAGCGATTTTGCCCAAACACATCCGGTCCTGACTGGCAACAAACGTATCCTCTGTCCAGCCACAATGTATGTGGCCGAGGAGTGTGAATGTGTGTGTGCATAAACCAGACATAATTGGACGCCAATGTGAATGTATTAATTGAGAATGGCATATTCCCAAGCACTTATGTCTTCATAGCTAGTTCTCATCAATCTAATTGGGGTTGTTTTTGGGACAGAGCAAACTGAATAAGCTGAAACGGCTGCAGTTATCCATAAACTAGTTATCATTCCCACTGGTTTCAAAAGACTGGGAAGAACTGCTAAAGCAAGTGCTGTGAGATTTTCAAATATGAGAATGTAGGATATTGTGTTCTCTCTCTCAGGCAACTTATCAGGTATAGTAAAGGTCAAATAATAACGCTCTGTCAGCCTTACCAAAGTCGCTGTCAGAGCTGTCTGGGCCCTCCCCTCGGGGCCGGCTGCAGGCTGGGGCCCCACAGGTGACCCTGGCCCCTGTGTCCATCAGACAGGCCTTAGCGATGGAGGTGACCAGGTACTCATCCTCTGTGTTCCTCCAGCCCCACCAGCTGATCTCTGGCTGGCTGCAGCGGGCGATCACTGCCCCGTTCCTCTGGTGCCTGGTGGGACGGCAGGAGAGAAAGAGGGGGGGGGGGGGACCAACCATAATTAGACATACAATTAAAAAAAACATACAAAACCAGAGCAGGTCAACAGTCAAATTACCATAGTTTGGAATGTGTTGCTACTTAGGTGTGGTATGGTGAGGATATTTGAAATGTGTTTTTTATGTTTGTCTCCCAGGGAAGGACTGCACGCTCCAAGACCTTTCTATCACGGTTGACAACTCTACGGTGTCCCAACTCTACGGAGTGCAAAGAACCTCGGCATAATCCTGGACAACACCCTGGCATTCTCTGCAAACATCAAAGCAATGACTCGCTCCTGCAGATTCATACTCTACAACATCAGTAGAGTACGACCTTCCCTCACACTGGAAACGGTGCAGGTCCAGGCACTTGACCTCTCCCGTCTGGACTACTGCAAGCTTACAAACCCCTGCAACTCCTCCATAACGCCGCAGCCCGCCTGGTGTTCAACCATCCCAAGTTCTCCCACGTCACCCCGCTCTTCCACACTCTCCACTGGCTCCCAGTCGAAGCTCGCATCCATTTCAAGACCCTGGTGCTTGCCTAAGCTCCTCTATTCCAAGAAGCCTATGTAGTAATACTTTCCAGATGTTTCAGCAAAGCAGAGTAAAGTTAATCTATCACACCATTTGCAAACGTCAGCAAAATCATAGACTTTCAGATACTACACTTGCCTACAGAGCAGCAAGGGAAACTGCCCCTCCCTACCTTTAGTCTATGCTCAAACCCTACACACCAACCTGAGCACTCCATTCTGCCTACTCCAACCCTACACACCAACCTGAGCACTCCATTCTGCCTACTCCAACCCTACACACCAACCTGAGCACTCCATTTCTGCCTACTCCAACCCTACACACCAACCTGAGCACTCCATTCTGCCTACTCCAACCCTACACACCAACCTGAGCACTCCATTCTGCCTACTCCAACCCTACACACCAACCTGAGCACTCCATTCTGCCTACTCCAACCCTACACACCAACCTGAGCACTCCATTCTGCCGCCTCTCGTCTCTTGGCCCTCCCACCCACCCATATGAGGGGCTGGCTCCCGCTCATCCCAGTCTAAGCTCTTCTCTGTCCTGGTGCCAAATGGTGGAACAAGCTTCCCCCTAACATCAGGATAGCAGAGTCCCTGCCAATCTCACAAAAACGCTTTATAAAGTACCCCTCCCCAGAAAAAGATATAAAAATAAGCGAACATCCTTACCTTTCTTGCACTAACACTCACTTGTCTTCTCTTACTAGCACTGACTTTGCTGATAGCTGCTCTTTAGAGATTTTTTTTTTACTTACTATGACTGTGATGTGGTTGCCTCACCTAGTTACCTTATCATATGATGCAAAACTTGTCATACCAGCTGTATTTCTGCCTGCTTGAACGGCGAATAGCTCAGATACACATGAAGACATGAAATGACCCCGGGAATCAATAGAGCAAAAACGATACAAACATTCAAAATGGGTGAATCTTTCCTTTAAGATGAACACACTGTTAGTCGCTCTGGATAAGAGCGTCTGCTAAATGGCTAAAATGTACAAAATGTGTTTGTGTGTAGTATGGCGGGTGTGTGTGTAAAGTATGATGTGTGTGTGTGTACGTTATGGTGTGTGTGTGTATGGTATGATATGTGTTTGTACGTTATAGTATGTGTGTATGGTATGATGTATGTGTACGTTATGGTGTGTGTGTATGGTATGATGTGTGTGTACATTATGGTGTGTGTGTATGGTATGATGTGTGTGTACATTATGGTGTGTGTGTATGGTATGATGTTGTGTGTACATTATGTTGTGTTGTATGGTTGATGGTGTGTACATATGGTGGTGTGTTGTATGATGGTGTGCTGTGTGTAGGTATGATGTGTGTGTGTACTTATGGTGTGTGTGTATGGTATGATTGGTGTGTGTGTAATTATGGTTGTGTGTGTATATGTGTGTGTGTTATGGGTTGATGTGTATGTGTACTTATGGTGTGTGTGTATGGTATGATGTGGTTGTGTGTGGTATGGTATGATGTGTGTGTGTGTGTGTGGTATGGTATGTGTACATTATGGTGTGTGTGTGGTATAATGTGTGTGTGTGTGTGTATGGTATGATGTGTATGTGTACATTATGGTGTGTGTGTATGGTATGATGTGTGTGTGTGTGTATGGTATGATGTGTGTGTGTGTGTATGGTATGATGTGTATGTGTACATTATGGTGTGTGTGTATGGTATGATGTGTGTGTATGGTATGATGTGTGTGTGTATGGTATGATGTGTGTGTGTGTGTATGCCCTGTGTGTACCTGTAGACCACCACAGGGATCCTCTTGGAGGACCTGAAGGAGCCGACACTCTCCAGCTCCTTGTCTGTGATCCACACTGGCACCAGCAGCTTCTGGGGGTAGCTGGAGCACAACCTGGCAGGAGAGAAGAGGAGGGGATGTTCAGACCCCTTGACTTAAATCCTAGGCACCTAACAAGTCTTCAGCTCTCAGGCAAGGTTACTCATCAAACAAGTATAGTTCATCGAATCACCTCCATTACATATGTACTAAGCAATAAAGTGTGATTGTAGATTTACACGTATAGGAAAGGGAGAATGTACATAATGTACTACTAACTAAAACGCAGAGAAAAGCTGGGTAATTATCAACGTAGTGCATCAAGAGATGGCTTTTATTTCTCCGATAAAATATCCAAAGTGAGATCGACATCTCCAAGCAATGCCGTAACAAAGATATTCAGTGGCCCACTGTCTCTAGCTCTCTATCCCATATTACATATTTGTATCACCTACCCTCCAGCACTTACACCATCTCCATATGTCCTCTACTTTGCACATCACTGTCGCACTCTCTCTCTCCTTCCCCCTCCCATCTCTATCCTAGCCTGCAGTCGCTCTCTACTGTCTGCTCCAGGTAGATAGGAGTGTGTGCGTGTGTTTCAGTGTGTGTGTGTGTGTTGTGCTGAGTCATGGATCCCCAGCAGGTTCTGGCCTGCTTTAATTACCCCTTTCTCTAGTGTGTCTGTCCCCCTCAGCAGGACACTCTCAGAGCAGACAGCGAGAGAGAGAGAGAGAGAGAGAGAGAGAGAGGGAGAGAGAGAAAGAGAGAGTGTGTGTGTCTCAGCATGACACTCTGTGGCTCTCAGAGCATACTGCAGATTCATTTACTTATTTACCTACCCAGCAGGGGACACACACAGGCCTCAGACACAGGTACACACACCTTTTAATGTCCGTTCAAGTCTGTGTGAGTGCAATAGCGAAAGCTATGTTAAATATGAAGGAAGAGACAGTCCTCCTAACAGGATACAACCCAGTCTGTGTGTGTAAGTGTGTTAGAGATGGGTGTACAGAAAGGTGTGTATGATTTGCATGTATGTCTAAGTGCAAGACAGACATACACAGAAAGGTGTGTGTGGTGTGTGCGACGTGACTGGTGAGTATCAGACAGAGGAGAGGAACAGACAGATGGAAGCCCCCCCCCGGGCCCCACGGCACAGCTGTCATTCAGAGCGAGAGAGAGCGAGCTCAGTCCGTCACAGGGATGACAGCGACTCTTACACTACCCCCCCCCCCCCCCCCCCCCCCCCCCCCCCGTCAAATCGGTTCCCCCCCCCCCCCCCCCCCCCCCCCCCCCCCCCCCCCCCCCCCCGAGTCTGGGACTATTTAACAGCACAGACGTTAGATGTACCTGCTTAGGAGAGAGTGGGCTGGCTAGCTAAGGTGTGTGTGTGTGTGTGTGTTGGCTTGATGAGGCAGCTGTGTGATCATCAATCTTGCCGCTCTGTGCTGAGACTGGGGGGCTGTGTGTACGTGTGTATCATACTTGTAGTTGAGGTTGATGTCGGACACTCTCCAGGCGTTTTGCATGTCGAAGCCCATCCTCCTTACCTCCATCTCCAGCCTCTGACGGACATGATCACCTACGCAGAGAGAAAGATGGAAGAGAGGGAAGGGGGGAGAGAGAAAGAGAGGAATGGTCTAATATGAGTAAAACAGCTATAATGAGGCCTCAGGGTTTTAATCTGTTTGGTGATTGTGGGTGCATGTGTTATGATCATGTGTATGTATCCCTTGTAACATGTACCTGGTATATCCATGTGTGGTTATCCATGTGTGGTGTATCCATGGGTGTGTATCCTGTGTTGTATCCATGTGTATGTATCATTGTGTAATGGTATCCATGTGTTAGTTCCATGTGTATGTATCCATGTGTGTATCCATGTGTGTGTATCCATGTGTGTGTATCCATGTGTGTGTATCCATGTATGTGTGTGTGTGTGTTACGTGTCTGACACTAACCTGGTCTGCAGAGGTGTAGGTGCTGGTCCTCATCGTCAGCGCTGCCCCCCAGGCACCAGGCGTGGTAGGCCAGGGCAAACAGATCCTCCAGCCTGCCAGGGTGGGCTATGGCCCGGTTCAGACGCTTCAGCCACTCCTGGCACTGCTTGAACGTCGAGAAATGGCATCTGAGTAGATAACCGAACACAAACACATAAGGATGGAAAGTCAGAGGACGGCCACGCCCTTCATCACGCTTTCACCATATTATCATGGTTTGTGTACATTATGTATTATTATTCTTAGGCAAAACATGTTCAAGGACCAAAAGATAATACATACCCATGTGTTTTGCCTACATTATTATATACTGTCCTATAAGTTTGTTTTGAAAGTCATCTTAATTGGACAGAATGAGAGGGAGGTATACAATTATGTAGGCCTATATTCTCTCTTGCAGTAGCTCACAAACAGGGTAATAATGAGTGTTCTCCAACATGGAGATTCTTCTATGATTCTATATTCTTATGAGTGCTCTCCACTATGGAGACTAGTCATGGAGAAGAGAACAGTGTTTCCCTGGGCCGTGCCACATAACATCTGCTCCTCAGGCAGGATATAAAGATCACAATCAAAGAGGTGGGAACACTTCTGATGTCTGCATCTCTGTGAGGAACATGCCAGACAGGCTGTCACAGTGAGCCAGCAACACTACGGTTTTATAGGAGAGAAGTGGGCTGCAGTGCATACATTTGCTTTGGTTCCTTGAAGCTCAAGTCTTTTCAGAAGAGGGTGAGTAAACAGCGAAATGTGAAGGGAGGGGGAGCAACAGCTACATGTGCGTAAAATAACACATGCGCAGAACCGGATCCTTAGCTTTGACAAAGAGGTTTCCAGAGGGGCGGGCGGGGCGTGGGCGAAAACTCCGTATCCGTAGTCAAGATCCTTTTTTTTAAAGGATCTTAAGTGTTTTGGACCCAGAAATGTTCTTAAGACAACTTCATGACATCTCTTTTGCAACTCCGAGCAATAACAAAGGAGCTAGTTTTCCCACTAGCAGAAATATTGTGGCATAGGCCTACCAAAAAAAGACCACTACTGCTAAGTCTCCTTGTTTAGAACTAAGTCTATACATTGTGTCAAAAAAGATCATGTTTTGCTTAATGTCAATCAAATGTAATAAAAAAAAGACTTATGATTCATGGAGCACAAGATATTCATTTATCAATAAGTCCTAATAATAGTTGGTTGTCACTAGCCAGTGTAGGTACCGTAGATATAAAGTAGGAGTTCTCTTTACCTGACGACTTTGGAGTCCTTGCAGATGATGTGCAGTTGGAACATGTCTCTGCTCTCCACACTCTCTATGAGCCTCAGAGGCACCTGTAGGACACCATACCTCTATTAAAACAGACACCATACCAATGCCTCTATTGCCACACCAATATCTGATCCACGACAGCATCACTTGCATTTCCTTATAAAATCATCACGTTGCATGTTATTACATTGTCAATGCACCTTCCATGAACTATTACGTTTATATCTTAAGTGTACAGTGGGGGAAAAAAGTATTTAGTCAGCCACCAATTGTGCAAGTTCTCCCACTTAAAAAGATGAGAGAGGCCTGTAATTTTCATCATAGGTACACGTCAACTATGACAGACAAATTGAGGGAAAAAAATCCAGAAAATCACATTGTAGGATTTTTTATGAATTTATTTGCAAATTATGGTGGAAAATAAGTATTTGGTCACCTACAAACAAGCAAGATTTCTGGCTCTCACAGACCTGTATCTTCTTCTTTAAGAGGCTCCTCTGTCCTCCACTCGTTATCTGTATTAATGGCACCTGTTTGAACTTGTTATCAATATAAAAGACACCTGTCCACAACCTCAAACAGTCACACTCCAAACTCCACTATGGCCAAGACCAAAGAGCTGTCAAAGGACACCAGAAACAAAATTGTAGACCTGCACCAGGCTGGGAAGACTGAATCAGCAATAGGTAAGCAGCTTGGTTTGAAGAAATCAACTGTGGGAGCAATTATTAGGAAATGGAAGACATACAAGACCACTGATAATCTCCCTCGATCTGGGGCTCCACGCAAGATCTCACCCCGTGGGGTCAAAATGATCACAAGAACGGTGAGCAAAAATCCCAGAACCACACGGGGGGACCTAGTGAATGACCTGCAGAGAGCTGGGACCAAAGTAACAAAGCCTACCATCAGTAACACACTACGCCGCCAGGGACTCAAATCCTGCAGTGCCAGACGTGTCCCCCTGCTTAAGCCAGTACATGTCCAGGCCCGTCTGAAGTTTGCTAGAGTGCATTTGGATGATCCAGAAGAGGATTGGGAGAATGTCATATGGTCAGATGAAACCAAAATATAACTTTTTGGTAAAAACTCAACTCGTCGTGTTTGGAGGACAAAGAATGCTGAGTTGCATCCAAAGAACACCATACCTACTGTGAAGCATGGGGGTGGAAACATCATGCTTTGGGGCTGTTTTTCTGCAAAGGGACCAGGACGACTGATCCGTGTAAAGGAAAGAATGAATGGGGCCATGTATCGTGAGATTTTGAGTGAAAACCTCCTTCCATCAGCAAGGGCATTGAAGATTAAACGTGGCTGGGTCTTTCAGCATGACAATGATCCCAAACACACCGCCCGGGCAACGAAGGAGTGGCTTCGTAAGAAGCATTTCAAGGTCCTGGAGTGGCCTAGCCAGTCTCCAGATCTCAACCCCATAGAAAATCTTTGGAGGGAGTTGAAAGTCCGTGTTGCCCAGCGACAGCCCCAAAACATCACTGCTCTAGAGGAGATCTGCATGGAGGAATCGGCCAAAATACCAGCAACAGTGTGTGAAAACATTGTGAAGACTTACAGAAAACGTTTGACCTGTGTCATTGCCAACAAAGGGTATATAACAAAGTATTGAGAAACTTTTGTTATTGACCAAATACTTATTTTCCACCATAATTTGCAAATAAATTCATTAAAAATCCTACAATGTGATTTTCTGGAATTTTTTTCCCCATTTTGTCTGTCATAGTTGACGTGTACCTATGATGAAAATTACAGGCCTCTCTCATCTTTTTAAGTGGGAGAACTTGCACAATTGGTGGCTGACTAAATACTTTTTTCCCCCACTGTATTTACACTTTTCATAGTTGCCACAATAAATTGCCACACAGTAAATCTCATTCATACACACAACAACCATTATGCAACCATAATAACCATTTTAAACCAATGAGTCATCACCACAGGCCAAGCTCTGGAGTCTGCAGCAGTGCAATCTATTCTAGAATGTTCACTCAGTCATTCGATCATGCTGAGTCTGTAGTGTTCTGTACCACAGCTCTAGCTCTGTTATTGGTCCACAGGTCAGAGGTGTTAATGAGGTCACTCCGAACGTAACATTTATCAAATTACCCAATGAGGCTTGACCTTTGATTGGGACTGGCCAATCAGCATCGACGCTGACCGGCGGGGGCCGGGTCATCTAACTCGTTAATGAACAACCAATTCATGCTGCCACAGTTCAGACAGACTTCGGGACATCAAATGCACAAAGTGGTGCTCCAAAATCTTAAGAGACGCAATACATTCAATCTCTGCAACACAGAACTGCCTGGCTCTTGGCTCTTGGCTCTTGCCTTGCTAAGTGCATTACATTATATTCAATGTTGAGAAGATTCTGAATCAGAAAATTTATAAACCGTTTTTAGATTTCTTCCAATTTCAAATTAAATTACATTTTGTCCTTCTGGAGTGCACATGAATCCAGGAGTAGTCAGTCTGAACCAAACAGAGGTTGAATGATAAAGCGGTCAAGTCTAGACTGTTGGAGGGAGGAGGTGGGAAGCTGAGGGTTGCTGTCGACACAAGGTACTCACAGAAATGTGATTGTCCACACCTTGACAGGTCTACAACATAATGAGAGACATACACCAGGACCAGGGAGGGAGCAGAGAGCAGGAGGGAGGAGGGGGGTGACAACAAGACAGGGGACAGAGGAAATGGAAAAATGATTGAACTGAAGAAAAACAACAGAAGGAAGTTAATGAAAGGCAAAACATGAAAAGAAAGAGCTAAAATCAAGCAGAGAACACATAATAGCATGGCAGAAAGAGTGACTTTTGCTGACCACAACCGAGCTCGAAAAGGAAAGTATGAGAGAAGAAAATGGAAGGGGAAAGGATATCAAAATATAACATTTTAATATGCAGGCAGCGCAAACTGACAGTGTAGTCTTACTACATGTACTCAGTTAGATGACTGGAGTTCTGGGATAGGGGGAGAAGGAGGAAATGGAGTTAGTCTCGAAAACCCGACCCTAGGTAACACATTGACCACGTTTAAAATTATCCTGTTATTATTCGGGATACTGAAGTATTCTGTTTTTGAGTTGACTCATATAAACATCATATCCCGTTTACAACAACATGAAAAAGCTTGTATCCCGGTTATGAGAAACCTGGATAAGATGCCAGGGATATTCTGATCTTAGATGGGATACTGTGGCATGTAAACATCTTATCTTGTTTACTGTTGTTTTTCCGGTCTGCACAGGCCTCAGTTTCGCATATCATGGGTGTTATGTGATGTTTTCATCTGATTGTCAAACAAATCACTACAAAAAGTAGGCTATCTACACAACTTGATCCACCATAATTCCATAATAATTTATTTTGCTGATACTCCGTCCTGGACCGCATAGCCTACTGGCTACTTTCACCAGAAATTTCGACAAGTTTTTACTTAGAATTTCGGACATTTGGTAGGCCATATTGTAATTTCCAACATTTGGTAGGCTATTTGTTTGTCAACTATAGTTAGATACATGCAGCTTCTCTTCCGACTATAATGTAGTGCTCACCAGAATAATGTCTTACATCGATAGAATGAAGGCATTAGTAATCTAGTTAACACTGGTAAAGTTGTCTGTTTGGTTTAGGGACCAGGGAGAAAACGCAATATCTCCAAAACAGTGGAAAGATTGGTCCTGTGCAAAATGTCAAAATGTCATCAGTTTGACCGGTTTTAAGGGAATGAAAAGCTGAGAAAATGATGAAACACGTTTCTGATAAGACTTCAGTTCATATTTAGTGCATATTTTATGTGGTTGAAATACTGTCTGCTTGCATAACAGTTTCAAAGATAACACATTACACACACATTCAAATTTTCTCAAGAGATGCTGAAATAAATAAATAAATAATCTCTCTCCACTCCTGTTCCCGAGACAAAATTTACATTTGTTGTATAATTTTAATACAAGACATGCATAATTCTGCAGGAGTTCATATTATATTACTCTACGTGTGAGAGGTTATAGGCCTACAGTCAGTGTCCATATTTCAGTTACTATTCCATTTAACCCATATGAAATTAAATGATGAATATTCTGTTTATTAATGGATACAAGGACACTCATGAACGGGATATCAAAGGTGCATGTAAACAGCTTATCCCAAATAAGACCTTAAGTGGGATATGAGCTACTATCAGAAATACTGTGTGCATGTAAACGTGGTCAGTGACTATGGTCTGGTTTCAATGATGGACTCTATTGGCATAGAGGAACTACGTCACTGTCTACTTCACTACTTTATCCGCTTGAATACAATACAAAATAGTAGCTAGTAAGATGGAGGTCACGGAGCTTATTTTTTATGAGTGCATTTCGCAAGTGGCTAGTTTGCGGCAACTACCTTCAATAAATTCACTACAATGGTTTTGCCTGCAAACTTTGGTTTTGAAGGCTGTTTGTATTGCATCAGTAGGAGGGGCCACTGGATGCTAAGATAAGTGTGTGTGTGTGCGTGTGCGTACATATGTGAGTGTGCCTGTGTGTCTGTGGTGTGCGACCGCGACTATGAACGCTGGGCCGGCTCCCTGAGACTCCAGAGGTCATGTAAAACAGTCCTGGCTGGTGGTGAGATGATAGATACCGGTCACTGCACCATTCCTGTGGTGCCCGACACACTGCCAACTCAGTGGGGGTGAGGAGGGGACCAAGCATCAGGTCCTGGAAATGGCTCTGCATCTCAATCACATCATTTGAAGTGCTACCAGCCTTGGCTTGTAAGCAGCAGGACGTTCTGTCTAAAATGTATTATATGGCCTGTAATGAATCTAACCAGCAGAGCCTCTCCTTTCAGGCAGGGTTCTCTTCCTCGCATTACCACCTCTCAGTTCTGTGCACAAGTTCAGATCTATAGACAGTGTAGCAATTAGCCTGGCAACCAAACTGATGTATGTACATTACACTGCAGCGTTCAATCTGGTTTAACCAGGCTATGTCAGAGCAGCTACTAGAACATGCTTGTGTTGTTTTTTCCAGGATCTCTGTATCCTGTGTATTGCATGTGTTAGGGCTGGGCGATACGGCCAAAATGTCATATCACGGTATTTTACAAAACATTGACGGTATTTTATGTTTTTGAATGATACAAGTTTTAGGTTTGCTGTATGAGTAGTGCGTGACCCTACGGTGGCAACACATACATTCTAAATGATTTCAATGGGTCTTTCTCCTTTCTGATTGTTTTATACTGTTCAATTCAACCAAAAATAATTTTCAGCATTTTCATCAATTTCTGCATTTCCTGCACTGATTTGAGATCATTTCCACACTGCCACATAAGGCTGAACGATATGGGCAAACAATCTAGGTCTTATTTTTAACCAAATGTTACAATTGTGATTTGACTTGCTATTTAGAGCAAACCACTGGGGTGAACTGTTGGAATCATGGGAATAGAATGATTATTCTAATTCCATAGTTAGAATATAATAGTGGGCACTTTGAATATAGTGTTGTTTGACATGAAAACAAATGAAAATGCCAGGGAGGAGTTATCGTGACAGGGTAGGAACCAAAGTGTTGGACAAACAACATGCTGATTTAGGTCTACATCACTGGTATTATCAGGATGCATAGCTAATTACGTTTGCGCTGACTCAGTACATTAGCTAGCTAGCTAGCCAGCTAACTAGTGATTAGCATTAGTGGCTAACACGATTTAGGCCCAACATGCTAAGAAAAGACAAACTAACTGTTTGCAGGTGAAAGAAACACAAACTAATAGTGTAATTCTAGAACACTAGTGGATTTATATTAAGAAGCAAAGTGAAAACAGCATCGTTGTCATCAACATTGTTGCCTGTGCTGAATTGACCATGCAGACCGAACGCAAGTGTCTCGTGGTTGAGGAACAACAGATGCACTCCTTGAGTGACAGGGGGCGGGGCTAGGTCTGTGTGGAAAGCAGCATGGAGAGAGAGACAGAGCGGAGAGAGTTGACTCAAGTAGCGAAGTAAACTATAAAAATGGGCGTTACACACGGCGTATCACATTTAACAAACCAAACATTCAAATACCTTTATAGAAGGTAAAGTAAAAACCCAAACCGGTCCGTGCATCAATACCGGTGTATCGTAAAATATGCATGTGTGCATCATGTCTTACATTGATGATGGAGTCCTTAAACTTGATGTGGAGCCTGTAGTTGGAGATGGCGATGATGGCGTCATCGGCTCGGCCTAGATACTCCACCCCTTCCCCCTGCAGAGCTGGGAACGGCACCTGGAGGGGACACAAACGTCAACGCAACGTTAAGACAACATCAACCACAACGCTTAATCAACACTGCGATAAGGACAACATTGGAAATCAGGACACAAACGTCACAATGTTAAAACCTTGCAGTTTTTACAGTATATTGACTTATCTTCCTATTAATCCCATTGTTCTCTGTAAAACTTGCAATACGGCCATCACACATCAAACCAGTACAAAATGACCAGTACATGGTCCAATGGAGAATCAACACTAGTCCTGCTGATTTTCACACCTGTTCGTGGTCTCTTAAACGTGTAACTTGTTTCTCCACCAGTATTACACAACATTAGTACAGTACAATTACATCTTGTTTTGCTCATCCCAGTGGTTGCAGGAGGACAGACTCTCACTACCATCTAAACTGGATGTAGGCTTCAGAAGAGAGACCACACCAAGCTCTGCTGTTTACACTCACCGAACCCACAGCTTAACTGAGCAATGTTTATCCCTAATACACCATGTCACTTAAGACATGTACCCATTGACCGTATATTAATATCAGCTTGTACCACTAGTATGGTAGGGATGGTGTAAGGATGGATGGGGCTATTCTTATAACCGGGCCAGCTCAGCACAGCTTTGGCTCAGCTTGATTCGGCTCAGTAGTGTGAAAAGCACTTTAGTTCTCCTGGTCAGTGTTGTTGGAATCTGATTGGCTGGTTGTCCAGGTGCTTGCGCTGCTAGTGTTTGAGATCTGCTTTGGTAAACAGTATAGAAATAGAATGACTTTCTCCTTGGCTAAACTAGGCTCGTCATTTAACATTTGTATTCATATTTACAGATCACATACAAGTTTGTTATTAAAGCACATGAAAGCTCACATGTTCAAGAAGGTATTTCTAAAAATATAAAAAAAGAGAGAGAAAAAACATTTACGGCCCTACTGTGAAGTAGGAACTAACGCCTAACGCCCAGCTTCTTGAATCCCATTCACAAATGTGCTTGTGGCAGTCCCAATTAGCACTTCTAGCATAAAAGGATCTATGTGAGAGAGGAGAGCATGTCGGCTGGTCTTTGAGGCTGAGTGAACAGGCCGACAGGCTAGGCAGGCGGGCGGGCAGGGAGGTTGTGTACTATGTACTGTGTGTGTGTGTGTGTGTGTACATGGTTGATGGTACTGTGTTCGTGATGGCTCTCAATCCATCTATTAACATTCCAGATACATGCCCATTTCATTAGCCCCGCAGCCCCGGCCCTCAGCCCAGACTCCGGGCCTGCATCCCAAATGGCAACGTATTCCCCATAGGGCCAAATAAGTAGAGAATAGTGTAGTGAATGCCATTTGGGACACAGAGAGGGAGTAGACCCATGCATTAAGATCATTGGTTCCCATCACAGAATAGAACACATGTGTCATCTCTCAGAAGCAGCACATTTAGCTGCTTAAAACCCAACCAGGTGGAGGGAAGGAGACAAATAAAGACTAAACAGAGGGAACTGATGGTGCCAAACTCTAGTCTAAATGATGCCTCAAGTCGTCTAAAACAGGAAGCCAGTTAACGAGATCCAGCCAAACAAACATTAACGCTCACTGTGTTCAATCCATCCAACTTTACCCTCTTCCTTATTTCAACATTTTATTGCACTTTACCGAAAAATATTTATACTGAACAATAATATAAACGCAACATGTAAAGTGTTGGTCCCATGTTTCATGAGCAGAAATAAAAGATCCCAGACATTTTCCATATGCACAAAAAGCTTATTTATTTTGTGCACAAATCTGTTTACATCCCTGTTAGTGAGCATTTCTCCTTTGCCAAGATAATCCATCTACCTGACAGGTGTGGCATATCAAGAAGCTGATTAAACAGCATGATCATTACACAGGTGCACCTTGTGACGGGTACAATAAAAGTCCACTAAAATGTGCAGTTTTGTCACACAACACAATGCCACAGATGTCTCAAGTTTTGAGGAAGTGTGCAATTGGCATGCTGACTGCAGGAATGGCCACCAGAGCTGTTGCCAGAGAATTGAATGTTCATTTCTCTACCATAAGCCGCCTCCAACGTCGTTTTAGAGAATTTGGCAGTACGTCCAACCGGCCTCACAACCGCAGACCACGAGTAAGCACGCCATCCCAGGACCTCCACATCCGGCTTCTTCACCTGCGGGATCGTCTGAGGAGGGGGAAGGGGGGTGCTGAGGAGTATTTCTGTCTGTAATAAAGCCCTTTTGTGGGGAAAAAATAATTCTGATTTGCTGGGCCTGGCTCCCCTATGCCCTCCCAGGTCCACCAATGGCTGCTCTCCTGCCCAGTCATGTGAAATCCATAGATTAGGGCCTAATTAAATTATTTCAATTGACCCTCCTTATATGAACTGTAACTCAGTAAAATCTTTGAAATTGTTGCATTTATATTTTTGTTTAGTGTAATAGTGACAGAGACAAATTATGCCCGTGTTCGTCTTTTCATTAGACTGGCGAGTGGCAACAGATGAGAAACATCTTAGCTGTAATCATTGTTTTACAGTGAAGCTAACAAAATGGTTACATAGACTATCTGCATTGCCCCTTCTATTTTATTTTTGCACTGACTATGTACACTCACTCACACACAATTATCATATACGCTGCTGCTACTCTGTTTATCATATAGCCTGATGCCTAGTCACCTTAACCCTATACATATCTAACCCTCCAACTCCAGTCCATTCCCTGCACATTGTAAATATGGTATTGGCACTGACTCAGGAACTAACCCTGTATATAGCTTACTTACTTTCTATTTCTCGTGTGTTTTTGTTCTACTTGACTTAATTTTTTATAGTCCTACTGATGTTGATTACTGCACTGTCGCGAAAGAGCAAGCAAGAAAGTCATTTCACTGTACTTGTGCATGTGACAAAAACTTGAAACTGAAGTTGTGTACCAGGACCTTGTTGGCCAGCGAAAAGTGGTTTGGTTGTTGTTACAGTGGGGAAAAAAAGTATTTAGTCAGCCACCAATTGTGCAAGTTCTCCCACTTAAAAAGATGAGAGAGGCCTGTAATTTCCATCATAGGTACACGTCAACTATGACAGACAAATTGAGAAAAAAAAACCCAGAAAATCACATTGTAGGATTTTTAATGAATTTATTTGCAAATTATGGTGGAAAATAAGTATTTGGTCAATAACAAAAGTTTCTCAATACATTGTTATATGCCCTTTGTTGGCAATGACACAGGTCAAACGTTTTCTGTAAGTCTTCACAAGGTTTTCACACACTGTTGCTGGTATTTTGGCCCATTCCTCCATGCAGATCTCCTCTAGAGCAGTGATGTTTTGGGGCTGTCGCTGGGCAACACGGACTTTCAACTCCCTCCAAAGATTTTCTATGGGTTGAGATCTGGAGACTGGCTAGGCCACTCCAGGACCTTGAAATGCTTCTTACGAAGCCACTCCTTCGTTGCCCAGGCGGTGTGTTTGGGATCATTGTCATGCTGAAAGACCCAGCCACGTTTCATCTTCAATGCCCTTGCTGATGGAAGGAGGTTTTCACTCAAAATCTCATGATACATGGCCCCATTCATTCTTTCCTTTACACGGATCAGTCGTCCTGGTCCCTTTGCAAAAAAACAGCCCCAAAGCATGATGTTTCCACCCCCATGCTTCACAGTAGGTATGGTGTTCTTTGGATGCAACTCAGCATTCTTTGTCCTCCAAACACGACGAGTTGAGCTTTTACCAAAAAGTTTCATCTGACCATATGACATTCTCCCAATCCTCTTCTGGATCATCCAAATGCACTCTAGCAAACTTCAGATGGGCCTGGACATGTACTGGCTTAAGCAGGGGGACACGTCTTGCACTGCAGGATTTGAGTCCCTGGCGGCGTAGTGTGTTACTGATGGTAGGCTTTGTTACTTTGGTCCCAGCTCTCTGCAGGTCATTCACTAGGTCCCCCCGTGAGGTTCTGGGATTTTTGGCAACCGTTCTTGTGATCATTTTGACCCCACGGGGTGAGATCTTGCGTGGAGCCCCAGATCGAGGGAGATTATCAGTGGTCTTGTATGTCTTCCATTTCCTAATAATTGCTCCCACAGTTGATTTCTTCAAACCAAGCTGCTTACCTATTGCAGATTCAGTCTTCCCAGCCTGGTGCAGGTCTACAATTTTGTTTCTGGTGTCCTTTGACAGCTCTTTGGTCTTGGCCATAGTGGAGTTTGGAGTGTGACTGTTTGAGGTTGTGGACAGGTGTCTTTTATACTGATAACAAGTTCAAACAGGTGCCATTAATACAGGTAACGAGTGGAGGACAGAGGAGCCTCTTAAAGAAGAAGTTACAGGTCTGTGAGAGCCAGAAATCTTGCTTGTTTGTAGGTGACCAAATACTTATTTTCCACCATCATTTGCAAATACATTCATTAAAAATCCTACAATGTGATTTTCTGGAAAAAAAAATCTCAATTTGTCTGTCATAGTTGACGTGTACCTATGATGAAAATTACAGGCCTCTCTCATCTTTTTAAGTGGGAGAACTTGCACAATTGGTGGCTGACTAAATACTTTTTTCCCCCACTGTATGCTGTGAGCATTCAATAGAGACTACAACATCTAGAGCATCTCTATTTTGGAATCACATAGCACAAAGTTGTTGCCTAGTGACCACTTAGGCCCAATAATACTGCATTGCCTCATCACACTCACTATTTGATGAGTCACTCTAAGAGCGGGACCTGTTGGGGCATGACAGGCAGGGGAGAGGGGATTACTGCAAGATGTCTGAAACAACATCATTAGCCAACACAAGGCTGAGACATAGTACAGCCCAGAAAAAAACGAGTAACTAAAAAGGAGCATGTGACTGGGCCTGGGGACTACAAAATTAGTGTCTGTATATATATATATATATATATATTATTTTTTAACGTATTTCATAATCTACTCAAACTCACTTCTCTCTGGTGAAATGAATAATCAGAGAAATGCACAAGGATCACAGCAAAGAGAGATGAGTGCGCAACTTTCTTTTCCATT